TACCTTTTATTGCTCTAAGGGTGTTTCTTTCCTGCCATGCCAGGGGGCCAGGCAGGGAAGTGTGCCAGCCCTGCCACTGTCACAGTCGCCCTGCAGCACAGACACTGCCCTGGCAGGACCCAATGCTGGGAACCTGCACATTCAGGTCCAAAGCTGTTTGGGGAAAATAGTCTGCAAGAAGAAATTGTAGTGAGGACAGCAAATTATTTAGGGTCAAAAAGTAGGTCACAGGAGATTCTGGAGAGTAATGAGAATATTCTGTCTCCTGTGAAAGGGATGGACTTGGGCAATCTGGCTTTTGTTGGTTCCCTGCTCATTCTCAGATAGACCAGCAAACAATGTGCTTTACTGTATGTTCTGCTACTAGTTCTGGCCTAGGGTTCCTTGGCACTTGTAAAGTACTTGTATCTCTAAACCACACTAATGCTACTGGTGTTGTCAGAGGAAAATGGTTTTTTTCTGTGCAAGATCTATCATGCATTATTTATTGGCAGGGAAATCCATCTTCTTGAATGATTTTTCAGAGTGAAGTAGTACAAGCTCTGCCATTTAGTATACTTAAATGACACAAAATCCATATGTTTTCAGTAGGGAACAGTGTTGATATAGGCAGATAGAGCATTGTTGGGTTTTTTTAATTTAAAAAATCCATAACCCTTCATTTTTATTTATTTTTTAATAACTCAGACCACTCAGCCTTTGAAACTCCCCTTTTTATTTCACAAATGTACCCTTTGAAACCTATTCTCAAAAGGGATGCTACAAAAGTGATACTAGAGTGGAAATTCTATGTAGCGAGTTTATCTTTAAATTGGAGCTTCTAGAAAGACTGTAGTTTGATTTAACTAGGTCTTTTCTCTCCTATTATTAATTAGGCACAGCTAAAAAGCTGCATGTTTCACAAAGACTATAATTTATTTTTTTAATTCCCGTGTATATTAAAAATGTGGTGTCTCAAACCTATCAGCCAAACAAGTCTGCCCAAAACCAAAGGCTGCTAAAGGTCACCTTTGAGTAAGACAGTTCCTGTCTTAGAGATCTTATATTTGAAGTGAAAAATGCCCAGCCAAATCAGAGGAAGGAAAACTGAAGCAAAAATATAACGGGGCCTGAATCTTTTACCTACTTGTCCAGCCTTCTGATGCAACAGCACATGGACAGGATTCCTTTCTGCAAATGAGGCAATTTTCAGTCTTGAGTTCAGGACCTCCTCATTACACAAAGGAGAACTTAAAATCTTTAATTTCCTGAAGCTTTTCAGTGAATGCTGGAGGGCACTATAATAGTTCCAGTTTCTTGGAACTGCTTTCTCATTGCACAGAAACCCTAGTCAAGCATGCATTGTCTGTACACTATGTTATTGATAACAATTGTTAACAATATCTATAAGAATAACTTCATAATGGAGCAATAGCAATACAGAGTTCAGATGTGCCTGAAAGGAAATAGGGGAGAAATGACCAACTCCAAAGCTTGTTTGTGCACTTTGCATCCAAGTTCGTTGTTGTGGCACCCTTAGAGCAGGGCATGTTGACAAGGGAAAAGGTCTGTGGAGGAAATGGATGGTCAGAATATGTCAAACGCCAACATAAATATATGAATGGAGTACAGAGGTTTAGACTGTGGTTCTTGTATTTTAGAAGCAGCTGGAGCCCTCTCTTTGAAAGCACTGATGGAGACTGCTTAATGTGACCACGAGCACTGCTACAGCAAGAGCTGTGCAGTCATTCTCTAATTATATAGTTATTGGTGTGTTTTGGAGCAAACCAGACTGCTATAAATCATGTTTTGGGGAGTGATCCTTGTCAGGGAGATAAACATCTCTGTTTACATTAAGCTGAAGAGATGAGTGTTAGCATATTTTTGTGACTGCACTAAGGCTGAAATTCAGGCTTTGCCAAACTTAAGTGCTATAGAGAGGTGGAGCTTTAAGTGTCCACCGTGCTGCTGCCACAAAGCCTGGCACAGTGACTAGGGGAAAGGAGGGGGGTGTTGTGCCCCCCAGTATGATCTGGGCACTTCCTTCAGCTTGACAGAACAAGGTGCAATTCAGCACAACTCCCATTACCTTTGTGCAAGTGTCCTTGGACACTGTCTGTGCTGAGTAAAAGCTGCAGGGTCCCAGGAAAATCAGCTGGTGCTGCTGGGAGGGGAAGAGGCATTTCTCTCTAAGAAATACCTCTGCTGTTACAAGTACTGTGAATATTTGGTTGTGCTGTAGCTCCACGAGGCATCCAGATACCCATCACCTGGATTAGACAGTAGATGTAGATCTGTTCAGGTTTCTGCAACACTAAATACTCCTTTCTTGTAACAGTAAACCTTTTATGTTCTGATTAGGAGTGTTTCGCTGTGCTGTGAATCCATAGCATCCCAAGTAATATGTGTGTTAAAGAATCCCCTCTAAAGAGCAGATACATAGTAGATGTTTAAAACCTCAGCAACCCAAAGACCCAATCTAAGGAAAACTATCCTGAATTAAGGTCAGTGCTTATTCTATTTCAAGGCAAATTGTTAAATTTATATCTTGTATCTAACATGTGAGGGCAACATGAATAAGGATACTGATTCTTGTTTCCAATATGTACAAAATACTTTCAAAGGAATCAAATGGGAAAGCTGGGAGCTGTCAGTTGTTAGCCCAGTGATTCCTGCAATTTATATGGAACCAAGTTTAGCACAGCTGTCTTGAAATTACCATTTTAAAATTTATCTTAAAGCTTGTGCAAATAGCACTAGGTTTGAGTTATTTAGACACATTTCATTCTTGAGAATAAACTGGTTGCCGTCTCAGCTGGAGATAGGAAACCTGTCAAAAGTACTGTTTGTTTGTGTCATTATTCAGCTGGACACTGCCCAAGTTACATTGCAGAGAAGCAGGGTGTGTTTGTGTGTGGGGACACTTCCCTTCTGCAGAAGAGGCAAAACAGATGTTAAAAACCACAGCATATTATCAGTGTGTAATGTTAGGAGTGTGTCATGCTCACGCCTTGGTCACCAATTAAAATATAGTTTTAATGAACTCTCAACTTCTTGATGTAGTGCAGATGCAAACATATTGCTTCACAGTCTAAAATAAATTCAAAGCCTTTAATAGTTGGTCTGATGGCTGAGGAAATCTGTGAATGTATGAGATATATACATACAAACTTTCTGAGAACTGGACTTGGATCAGAAAATTTGCTCTGTCTTCTGCCTCTCCACAGTTCAGTGTCACGTAACAGTGTGTATCCTGAAGAGGACCAAATCCTGGGTCAGTGCTACAGACTAAACCCAGTCCTTTGTGGGGGATGCTACTGGGAGACTTAGGCACTGGTTAGGTCAGTGCTGAGAGAACTGACCTGTTTCCCCTGGGGTTGTGTGACGGAAGCTGCATCTTGCTTGCAAGAGCAGGTTAAAAGGATTTAGTTCCTTCATGCCTTGAGTTACCAGCTTTGATGGGGAAATTCTTATACTGGCTCAGAAAGTGCCACACTAAAGCATGGTATTAGTGGTAAAGATGAGGGGTGTCTTGTGACTTATGACAAAAACAAGATCTTTTAAAAGAAAATTTTAACAAGAACAAATTACAGGTTTTCTACAAATAAGAGCATTCAGAATTACGCTACTCTTATCAGTTTGAGTTTGTTCAGTAATAACACATTTAAGTGGATGTCGTTGCTGGTCTGATGTGGAGTCCTTGTACTGACCTAGGGACCATGTGTCCTCTTGGGTTACATGCTGCCACAAAATAACTTAGTCAACAGGCCATGCTTGCTGAGTTCTGAGCAATAAATCACTGCACTGAATTATAGTATGTGCAGCTTCAAGATAATGTTTTTGTGACCTTTTGCTTTCAATAGTACCATTCTGAGCATCACTGCCGCTAAAATTCCTATTTACTTATTTTTTCTTTAAGCTTTCCAAGGGTACTTAAACAATCTCTGTGATGCTACTGATGGATGATTCATGTTACATTAACTTTTCAGCTCTCACGGGTAGGAATCTATTGTAAGTGGATTTAGAAAAAAAAAAAAAAAAGGATTTTTTGGGTTTGTAAAAGATGGCTTGTTGTTGTATTGGTTTTGTTCTTGATACTTAAATGCCCCAGCATGATCACTCTTCAGCGTTTTGTGCTGTAATTGTGAAGTTTTCAAAAACAATTCTAAGAATTTTTTCTGGTAAAATCAAAAGTCGATATGCATCTATCTCTGCTTTTCTATGCTGCAAAAGACTTAACTCTTATTTTAAGGAATGACTATTCTAATTATAGCCAAAACATTGCATGTTTGTGTTGAGTTCATAGAAAAGTCCTAGATTCAAATGACAGGAAATAAAAGTGGATGATAGTGGATCCATTAATGAGAGTGTTCCCTCGCTCTATAGTTCTAAATGAGAAACATGCTTTCATACATAACCTTGGGAAATATTAAGACAAAAGTGCATTTTGTTTCCCTGTCTGGAGCTAGAGAAAGCAAAACAATATCAATAGTTATCTGGTAACTGTGACATGCATGCCTTTAGTTTTCCCAGGCTGGCATCACTAGAGTTAGTCTGGAAAAAATCCAAAAAGGGAAGCTGAGTTTCATTCAGTAATCCATTGAAATAATGACCATATTATCTGATTATGATGATGTAATTATTTTAAAAATACTTTGAAGGCCTCATTTTAGACTCTTGTCATTATGTAATTCAGATTTTTGAGCTGCAAAAGGCTCCCCTCGACTTACAAATGCACCCAGGTCTCATTCAACTCAGTGACGCCAGCGGCTGGGACTGAAGCAGGCCTGGCAAGCCCTGGGTGCCGCTGCTCTGGTTCCATGCACGTCGGAAAGCCTGCGTGCAATGTCCTCTCAGAGACAGAACCTCGCTGGGAGAGCCAACACAGTGTTAGAGATCTTTGATAAAGGAAAACTCCAGTCAATTTCCACTACCAGGTGATGATTCCTTGAACACAGAAATTAAATAAAACTGAGAGAATAAATACAGGAAAAAAAAATTGAAAATTAAAAACTACTCCGTTCCATGTTCATGACATTTTTAATACTCATCTTGCTAATATGCAGAACAAGGACTATTGAATTTCCATTCATTAGCAGCCAACAAGATATGAATGAGTATTAACTTCAAACAGAAACTTGATTTATAACAACATCAAGTTGTGCACTTAAAAAAATAATTACAAATCATTTTAAAAAGGAAGAGTAACAGTGGAAGCAGTAATGAATATAAAACATGACCGATTAGGCTTAAAACATAGCTTCAAGTATTCTATGGCATTTCCTCAGACATTTGTCTCATCTGTTTGTGCAATACCCATCTTTGCATAGTAAAGAAAAATTCGTTAAACTCCAGCCTTAAGTAATCTTTTTCTTTGAACATGCACCTATACAGCTGTTAATTTGCCTAGCAGACTTCTCTTTTAGGAGCATCAGATCAAATCATAAGATCATGCAGCAAACTGGAATGAGCTATACAGTTACCACAGTTTCTTGTCCAGCTGAGTAGGTAAATAATGGAGCAAATGTAGAGTGGATGAAATGGAGGCGGAGTCAACCCAGTCTTCTTTTGATGACACTTTGCAATGAACAAAGTAACACTAAATGGATATGCACTTCCCAAAGCATAGCAAAGGTGGGATGTAGAAAATCAACACCTACCAAACCCAATTTTTTTATCTACTGCCATGGGAAGCACTTCATCCAGTACCTACTCTGAGCTGTGTTGTCACTTGTGCTGGGCACACACAGGGCAAAAAGCAAATGTGTTCCTCCACGTACACACAGTGGCTGATGAGTGAAGCATAAATTCAGTCAAGAAATTGTAAGTCCTATGAAAGGGCTGGTGTAAATAAAAAAGTTACTCCAGCACTGAACATATGTTCATAGTAGTTGGGGACCACTGTGGTCTGATTTAAAACATCACATCACACACTAACAATGTTGTTTGTGAAATGCTTCTTCAAGGTTTATTACACAGGTAGTTTATGTATGTCCAGTTGATTTTACTTATTTTTATTTTTGGTAACCACTAGTGTTTCTGTTGTGGGTTATGCTTGCTTTGGAAGCAGAACCCTAACAAAATTGGATGTTTTGAAGCAAAGCATTTTTAGATAACCATAATATAGTTGCAAGTATTTTTGGTTTGCCATCAAAGGATTGTCACTAATGTAATTTTGCTTGAAACCAGGCAGGAATTTTTCAGAATAAGATTTATAATTCATAGAAATGTCAACTACCTGTGTGCAGCACCTTTAACTCATAATGTAGTTGTGTTAATGTGATTATGTTAAAGCTGATTAAAAATATTTAATAATAACTGTCAAGCAAAACAATATATTGTAGCTCTTTTGTGAGACTGTTGAATTGAACATTATCATAATAAGAAAAAAACCTGAAATTATGTTTTCTAAGTCACAGGAAATCTGCAGCATTTTCTTAATGTTTTGGCTCTTAAAGCTAACTTGGGTAATGGATTTCACTGAACAAAGATGGAGTATGTAATGTAACTGGGCTTCTGTTGTTACTAATATTCAACCTTTAAATTAAAGCCAAAATTACAAAAGTTTTTAATTCTGATTATCAGACGCAGCAATTAAATTTTCAGGTCACTTCACTTACACAAACTAAATTACCTGTTTTAAGCCAAGATGCAAAGGATGAGCCAGACTGGACAGCTCTATACTTTTAGGGAGGCCTAGACATCTGCCCAGATCTTTCTCAAGGCAGATGCAGCCAGGCTAGCCTGGTTCCTGGGGCACGGTACTGCTGCCCAGGACTTCTCTGCAAAAATCTGCTCGTACGCAAGGTGTATCTAAAAGTAATAACAACACACAACCCCCTGAAATTACATGGCATTCTGTACACGTTGTGATGGTAACTGGCTATCAGCAGCCAAGGGTCAAAGTATTAATCTTGCATTAAACTTTGAAAAGTGAGATGCACCAAAGAGATACAGGGAGTGAGTTAGAAATGTCAGTCACCTTTGCGAGTTGCTTTGAGTGGATGGCCAGAAGGCAAGAGAAGAATAACTCATTCCAAGCTTTTAACATTTTGCGAGTATTTTAAGGCTTATTTAAGTTTTTATTTTACAGGAAAAAAACTAGCTACACTTAAAAAAAAAAAAAGAGCTTGGCACTTCTGTGATTATCTTGAGAGGGTGTTACTTATCCTATATTATGGAAAAGTCTGCATAAGAGCCAAAAAAAGTAATCCAGACTTATAGTCAATACATAGATATGCATTTATACATTTTAATTGTTTTTGGTTTCAAGCATACAAACTTTAGATCACATCTGTTTGGTGTCAGAACTCCCTGCATCTGCATGCTATTACTGCCTTTTTTTGAGCAAGCCCAGAACATCCGCTGTACAACATGCTACAGAAAAAAAGGGGAGGAAAAAAAACCCAAAACCAAACCCAACATCAAAAATAGATTTACATAAAGAATAGAACCTTTTTATATGGAAATTCTTTTCTCTTTTTTATATATATATTTATATATAATCTGTGAAAATGATACATCAAAATCTTATTTCCATATTTACACTTTTTCTTTCTTGGAAAAATTCCATCCATCATTCACTAGCTTCCATAACTAACAGACTCCTGACCTAGGAGACCAAAACAAGGTGGACAGCGAGCTCACGGAGCAGGGAACCCTCAAGTCCAGCAGCAGAATGCACTGCGTGGCTGGAAAAGCTATCGAAGCCTGGCACTGGCTTCCCAGTGATTTATATTTATTGGGCTGCAGATTTTGCTTGGGGTCAGCTTCTAACTTGGTTGTTTGTATGTGAGCCATGCAGGTTACCCTTTCAAAATTAGCTCCTCATGCCACTGGAGTTTGATAAGAAAAAGGAAGTCATGCGAACTCAAGTGAAGTTAAGAGTGCCAGCAGGCTGGGAAAAGAATCTTCTGCTATTCCATTATTTTGGAGCAGTTCTCTTATTGCACTTGGTCTGTGTGTCTCCTTTGTTTGAGGAAAAAAAAACACCTGATTTTGAAACAGTTTGCTTGTAACACTTGTCAGTTAATGTTAACAAGAGAAAGGTGAATAGAGGAAGTATTTCCAACTTATCTCCAAAAAGGACAGTGTTCTATCAACTCAAATTCCAACATCCCAATATTGTGTTTAGTTACTGTTTCTCAAGTTCTTCCTTACAGATTTAGTTCCTGTGCAGCTACAGTGAAGACATCATACCCAAAATCCAGTAGTGCAAGAAACAGCTTTTTGAATGGCATCTCTTCAGATAGGGCCTTGTTGACTTGGATCGAACCTTCGTTTTTTGACATTTCTTCCAGATTGCATCAAAAGGAGATGAGAACAGAAAAATGCAAGACATTAGTTAGATATAACAAGAACAAAGTCGTTGCTAAGGTCATAGTAAAGTAAAAGGCTCACACTGAGACAGTTTAACCAGTAACTATTTAAGGAATTTAGTTGCATGCTTTCTGTAGCATAATATCGAGTACTGGTTTCCTTATGCAGTTTAAAGATCATACTGGCATACAGAATACAGTTATTTCCGTAGTACTTCAAGTGGTGCTCTAAATTTGTAGAAACTTTCAGCTCCCAGTAGCACATGTTTCCCCAAGCCAGGAATGCATTTGTACAACTGAAAAGAATGAGTCATAAGTGCCAGGACTGGAAATACGTCAGCCCATGGAGACTTGAGTTCATCTGGCTACATCAGAATTTAGTTTATGTAATCTAGTGTGACAAAAAAGTGAGTGCCTCTGTGAGCTCTTACCACACTATTGACCAAAAGTGAATCTTAGTAAGGTGCAAAATATAGCAGAGACATTGCATTCGAAGGAGACTGGACAGTTTTGTTAATTGTGTTATTGGAATTGAATGTTAACAGCAAACAGCAAGCTGGTGATATCCAATCTCCTGCGATGTTGATGTCCTATGTCAAACAGCAAGACATAAGGAAGCAACAACAAAAGTTGGGTGCAACCTCCCCAGTATCTGGCTTTATGTGGGGCATCAAGCAAGGGGCTCATGCATTTAGTTTTAACATTGGGCATACACACCACTACCGCCACCAACCCAACATGCAAAAAATACAGAATAGGAATTCATAAATTCCCTGAAGATACAGACCAACCCCTGGATTTTCTGTTTTCTGCAGCCCTGCTAACTACTACCACTGCTACAGCATTTATAAATATTCTATACACAAGGTTTGTCTGGTGGTTTTAGAGACTAATGGATGTATGCAAAGACAACTTATTTTTGAATAGTCTTCCAGAGGCTAGTGGTTCTTGGCAATCCTTTGTTTTGTTTTTTATTCTTTGGACAACTGTGCCTAGATTTTTGTAAGATGCTTGTTTAAATAACTGGGGGTTTCTGAAAGAAGATCACTGGATTCATCTTCCAGTCATTTCCCCTCCAGGAGTACTGTACTAATGCTCTTTTTTAATGAGGCTGATGTTACTTCAATATCTCAATCCCTCCCCCTGTGCAATACAGGTAAATTTGAGATGACCAAATTTTTTTTTTCAGCCCAACTTGCAGAACTGCATGATAGGAATATGAATATAATAGAACTTGGTTGAATGTGAGTTAAAGACTGCTGTGTGTCTGCTCATCCTGCCAGTTTCAATGGGAAAAAAACGTGTCTGCTTCTCTTCCCCCTCCCCCCTTTTTAAAAGCTGTCTAGCACACTTGAATTCAAGCACTACCCATCAACAACTAACTAGTCAGTCCTTTTAAATCAACAACATATGTGAAAAATCCAGATGATGTAACTTGTCCTCCTACTCTACGGAAAGTATCATATTCCAGTTTGCTTGAAGAGGATGTCATTAGAATAGATGCTGAATTATGCTCTGTTACCTGAGCTTATTTTAGTAGAAGAAATGGACTTTATAAGTCTTAGAACAAGGTGCAGAGGACAGATGCTATGCTAGTTTCCCAGTACAACTCTGTAACAAAACTCTGTCTTTTATCCTATCGATTCTTTTCTAATCTCACATCTCCACAAGTGCAGTATTCCAGCACAAACCTCGCCATGCATTCTGTGTCCAAACCATATATTTACTCCATTCCTAGTTTTATTCTGCAGAAATACAGAGTTTGAGGAATAAGATACTGACCAAAACCACTGCCTTTCTTCACTTAGGATATTCTGCTAACAATGTTATATGAGAAAGAAACATGTGAAGAACTAGAATAAGAGCCTGAAATATGGAACATGAGATACAGTGTCAATAAGGGAACGTAGTACAAAGCTTTAACAAGACCCTGCCACATCTCTGCACTGCAATTGTAGCACTTCAGGGGTAGGCAGTCAGGTGTTACCCTGCCAGGAATCCAAATTCTATTCTGATTCCCTGACCTGCTTTAACAACTTTATCCCGAATTATCGACCATTATAATACTAAAAGGAAGACCGTAGTCTTATTTACTTAAATTGCCAGATAGAACAAGTTTCTCTCTTTCTCAAGAAAATTACAATAAAAGGAAACTTGGTAAGTACCAGGACCTGGATATTTGCACCTCTTTATAGCTACATGTTATAGTACTGCAATGTTCCTTCCAGTATGCTTCAGTTAAAAGATATGGTGGGGCAGAAGAGTCCTCTGTAGGAGGACACATAGGAGAATGATGCTGCTTCCTAGTTCTTTGATGGTTTATGTGGAAGATCTTAGAATATAAACTTATTTTTTGCATTAAAGTTTTAATGCCTCTTTAAATAACGAGGGTCAGCCTTTCAGTCTGTAATCCAACCAGGAAAAGAGTCTCTAACACAAAGAAAATTATAGGTGATTCTGAATCAAAAGTACACCATGGTACAGCACATCACTGCCTTTCTAACATGGTCATCTTTACAAACAAAAAATATTTCAGAAATAAAAAACTGGTTTCAAAAAAGGCTGAATATATCTAAGAAATACCTTGCTGCAATCTGATGTCGGTTTTTTGTGCAGCTAACTGGGAATGTGGTCACAAAGTACATTACTTACAAATGTATGCCTTTGTGATCACATAAATACAAAGCTTTATTTAAGTATTTAAAGATTTATCCAAACCCAGTATTTTAACCACGTTAACTAGCTAATGTTTTCATAGGCATTCCTAAATCATTGTTCAAATGTTGAAGAGCTTAAATAAATGAACTTATGCTACAAAATTGATTCAAATTAACAGAATGAGGGACTAAAATTAGCAACTTAAAATAAGACATTGACGTTTCATTTATTCTAGTATATTGGAAAAAAAAGTGAGAAAATACCTCACATTTGATTCTAATGCTGACATCTGTGTAGTGATGACTATGGCCTATGATTCATATTGATGGTAATGCTGGTAAGGGACCAAAACCTCTTTCCTCACAATGTTCCCACCAGCATTTCACTGCCTTATCTTGTGGAAACCTTTAGGGTTTAAATGCAACTGCACAGACCAGTTAAACCAACAGTTTTAAAAGTACTATGCAAGGCTCATCTGAAGTAAAATCTACTTAACAAGGTTTCCACACACAGCTGTTAACTCTAAGCCACCTGAAATGTGTAATGAGGCTCTATGCCTTCTTAGAAATGTCATTAACTTTTTTCTTTCCTATTCTGTCCACACATTAACTTGATGACAAAAACTAACCTCAGATTCACTCTTGAAACTGGATTTGTTTTTACTTTGTTGATTTGTTTTTACTTTGTTTCTCCAAACTTGCATCAAGCCTTCTTTTACACTTCCCCTCCAACCCCCACCCCCTCTCAGTTCATGAACAAAGTTTTGCTTAGTTGCAGCTTACGTTTGATATGGACTTGACACCACAGTACCGTATGTTCATATGAACATCTGATAACCTGTGAAACAGAAATCACATCTCCCAGTTTGTAAAGCATTAGCTACCTTCTCTCATATTTGCAGAGACTAAACATATCACTTGCTTAAAAAGGAAAAGTTAAAATCCCTCTTTATTACCCTCATCTGTCCCTCCAGATCTATCTGAAGCCAAGTATCAGGGGGTCTACATATGCTAGCCCTCTTTTGTGTATAAACCAAAAAGCCTTTCCAACTCCCCTCTGACCCCCAGAAGAAACATGCACTTCAAGCTGTGAGCTAGGCCAGGCCAGTGTATTTGAGGTTCTGCTACAGAATAAACAGTCATATCTTGCTCTTGTGAGAGTAAGAGCTTCAGGACACATTTCCAATACAGATCATCTATAGGGACAGCAAGCTTCTTCATTTGGGCAAACGAATGACACCAGGATGCAAAGCTGAACACTTGTGAGAGCAGACTGAGAGTTGTGGAACACAAAGAAGAAATAATCAATGACATACTGTATTGTTTCAGACATGGAGGGATTCTTTGGCTGATCTGCGTTCTTCCAAGTTGGAGCTGTGTCCGCAGCCAGCCCGCTCGCAGCTGTGGGCAGGGGCTGCAGCTCTGATGCATGAGAGCAAAGGTGGTCAGGACACAAAATGGCTTGGAAAGATTCAGAGGAAAAAACTGACTACATTTCTTTTCTATTTTAATGACATGTATTATGTTTTCAACAAACTACCTTGTGCAATACAGATGTATTATTTAGGGATGAGCACTCTGTTTTCTGCAAAGTCTATGAGATGCTGAGTAATAGACATACGTCTCTTACAGCAGAAAACTCATCCAAAAATATAAGCTGACATTTATTTTTTCCAACAAATTTTAGCTTGGTTAATTCCCAGAGGAACTCGCAATATCCGTGTTTCTAATATTACTGCTTTAAATGTGCATGCATTGTTGTTCTCAATATACCAAAAATTTTCATAGAAATGTTAATGCAAGCCTTGCAGAAAATGTGCCTGTATTTATTGAAAAATCTAATTGCAGTGAAGTGCAGGGGAAAAAACCCTCTGTTCTGCAACTTACTGAAATTTTTATGTATTGTTTATATGCTCTATTTACATTAAAAGACAACTAAATTATTTTACTGTTTATAAATATGGAAAATCTCAGCCATATGAGATACAGCGCAAAAGATATAGGACTACCTTGTTTAGAGCTGCCCTATAGTAACTTCTAAATACTGGAGGCTGACCTAGTGGTATTTATTGTACAAATAAGTGGATTGGATTTATTTAACTAAGAAGATGTACGAGAAAACAAAACCAAACCTCAACCACAACAACAAACCCAGCAGCTGAAGGTAGGTCTGTAGTCAGGAACTGAAAAAGCTTTTGAAGATCATACACCCATGCTTACAGATGGATGTTTTGGTGCATTTTGTATTTACTCTTTTCTTACTAAAACAAAGGAGAAGCAGTGAATCCCAGGGCTGCTGCGTGCAGCTCTCACCAGTGTCAACTGGAAGCACAGGGAATGTTACTTCCCTCAGAGCAAGCACTTGGAGAAAAATGAATGAGGCAGGTGGTGGGTCTTTCTGAGAACACCTACAGTGGCAGGCAGTGCAACAGGGAGTAATTGCCTTGTCCAGGAGACAGGACAAAGCCTGTTTGCTGTTTTCAGCAGGGCTGAATGAGATTTTGAAGTATTTTGCTTCCACATGCATGCTTAATTAAGGCCAGCTGAACCTTTGAAAATATAAGAGTTTAAATTACAAGTAAACATTTTCAGGTGACTTTTGAAAGTGAATTACCAGATAAATATGACCTGATCACTAGATTCTACTTTGATAGTGGCCTTAATCAATTAGGGAGTAATTTTTTTCTTCTCAACTCAGACACGAAATATGAATAGAGACCATAGAAAAAATGTTTTAATTATTATAAAAACCTCCTTGAAGATTTATGGTTTATTGTTTGATCATGGCTTAATTTCGATTCATGTTATTGAATAGAAATAGCAACTTGAAACTCCATGAGAAATTACTTGTGCTTAATACTTCCATGATTTGTAAGGTTATAAAGTGAGATCCTTTTTACCAAATATGGACCATGCATGGAGGTAGACTGGACCCTACAAAAAAGGCAAGAATTAAATACCTTTGTACAAGACTCTCTTTTTGCTTTAACAGTCACAAGCAGAATGACTAGTATGTTACTCCTCATAGTTATAAAACACACTGGACTAGAATTGGGAGATAAATGCTTTCATCTTTCTGGAAACAGCTCAAGATTTCAAAATGATCTCTCTGCACTTGATTTTTTTTTTTTTTAAGTGTACTGAGAATAAAAAAATAATCAATAACCACTAAAAATTAGCTCTGGTACATTGACTCAACACATTTGTTGCTGAAAACTACTCTGCTACTGCCACTACTGACCATTTACATGACATCTTTAATTATGAAAAAGATGAGCTGTTTGAAAGTACTACTGCATTCAAAAGAAACACTCCTCAAGACATGTATCTTTTGGGGGTTTTTAACCACTGCAGTCAGCTTCTGAGAACAACACTACTAACTGGAGGTGAAAAAAAGACCTTGCTTCCTAAATCTTAGCTGAGTTAATGAAAATTAAATTAATGATTTTACTGTTGTTCAACTTTGCACCCTGATAACATCTGCCATTTTCAAATCCATTTCCTCCTCTTGTTCAGTGTGTGTGTAATTTTTTTTCTTGTTTAAAGCAGTTTGTTAGAGTTTGGGGGATGGGCTTAACTTGGAAATCTTGTAGCAGGAACTCAAAATTTAGTGATGTAAGCCAGAAATAGAAATGCCATAGCCACCAAAGAGAAGACATGCGGCATTGCTTACTTAAAGCCCCATCCTGTCCCCCCAAGGACAATTGCTGCTACCAGGATGGCACCAGCGATGGAGCCTATTATAAGATTGGTGGCACTAGGACCTGTGATAAAGGATTATGGTAAGACACACATAAGAACCAACGACTTTATTCACGTCATGTGAAGCATCTGAAGGGTAGTCAAACAATTCAAGGAATACAGACAGCACACAAGGTGATGCCTCCAGACAATCTCAACAAGCCCAACTTAACTTACTCTTCTTTAACAATAGGAATGAACAAAGCTGTTGGTCTCTGCATTGTGCTATGCTGACTTCTACTAAAGATAAAAATCTAGTATTAGACAGTGAATTCCATTGTAACTTACTCCGTTATCTGGTGAACGAACAGTCAGCTGAGGACACTAAGATATTTGTGAATAATCCCTTTGCTTAAAGGAAGAAGTATGAATGCTGTATGTTTTAAGACTGCAGCAAATTAGAAAGGAAAAAAAATCAAAAAGCTCTGTCTTTTTTCATGGAGCTTCTGAAAGATGTAGATTTTTTAATTTGAGCTAAGAGCATTCAGCACCACTTGCTAATCATAATCCAGACTCCCTACAGTTACATCAATGCTAAATTTACAAACAATTGTTTGACAAAAGCAAAGGATTATATAATAGGGAACAAACATTTAAATAAAAGCTGTATTCCTCCTAAGCTTTCCAAACATCAAAGCATCTCTTCATCATCCTCAAGAAAGGTACTAAACAACAAAGTGGAGAAGGGCGGAGCAGGAAAAAAGAGCAACAAAAAGAAGCTGCACAAAATATGTTTGTGCAATTTTCTGAAGAGGGCAAGAGAACACCTAAATAAGATATTAATAATTGACCCGTAAGTGCTCTACTTACATAGGGCAGAGGAAAACTGATAATAAGCTTGAGTAACATTTTAATTGCTCTGTACCGAAACCTCCTATCACGCAGTTTTTGATGTAAAGCTAATTGCATCTGCACTCAAGGCAGAAGGAAGCCAACTCAACAGTTCTTCTGCAGCATATTGTACACTTTTTGTTTAAACATTTACGTTTTCAGGAACAGCCTTCAGAAACAGTTCTTATCTCCTATCTCAGTCTCCCCAAATGAACACTTCTACACAGCAATGGAAATTTTCCTAATTAATTATTCTGAAACTGAGTTTGGAAAACTGTCAGACAGCTAACATAAAGAAGAAAGAGGAGTAGCCAGAGATCAGCAAAGAAAGAGCAAGGGCAGCTGCAACAACTGAAAGTTCTAAGCTGTTAGGTTGGTATCACAAAACCTCCTGCCCAGTCCCACACACTACAATAAGCACATGTCGTAAGTTTTAAAATTTACTGCAGCAACCTAACTTCATTGCAGCCACTGCATGTTTCCCACATCAGTGCTTCTGGAGATCTGAATAGCTAAAAGAAACCAAGTTTTAAAAATTGCTTCCTGCAGTTCCTATACAAACAATATTCAGGAACATGAACAAAATACTTGGACTGAAATGAAATATAGTGAGCTTTACAGATGAGCAGTGCACAAATTTGACGAAGAAAATCAAATGGTAATTTTTCACAATTTGGAAGAATGTATCTTATTTGGACTTACCTTTAAAGTCACACCTGACTCAAATCAACAGGAGTGAGCATGGTGGAGGGTAAATGCCATTCCACAGGCATTATAGTCCCAACTAAGGCTTGCTTGCAACAGCAGTCTAATGAGCCTAATGAGCTACTGTGTCTAACTGAGATCTAGGGTTTACTCTGGATTTTATCAAATGATTTCACACAACAAAAGACTGAAAACACAGCAAGTACTTTATCTGTAATAGATTTTATAAGCCTTGAAAAATTCTAAAGCTGATTTCTTTCTAGCCATGGAATGCTATCTTCCCACAGAGGTACAAAGATTAACTGATAGTAACAGTCATAACTTAACTTAGATAAAGAAGTGCCAAATCACCACTTTTTACATCCCACCTCCTCACTATGTTTCCTGGTTGTTAAATGTCAAGGGGTGTGGAGGGAGAGGGTGTGTATCCATTTCATAGTGCACATCCATTCACCAAACAGCAGTTTGTTCTTTCAATACAGAAAATCAATATCGGTTTTGTTTACTATAAATACAGAAGAATGCAATCAAAATTTAAACAGAAGAGGATAATATACAAACCAGTTAGGTTCAGTTAATGGAAAAGTATAAATATAAAACCCAAGCTGGCAGAATAGGTATGATGACTAAAACAGCAACCACTTGTTTCTGAGAACAGAGTCCTCCCAACTGCTGAATTCCAGTTTCAAAACACAGAGATTTAAGAGGATCACTGGCAAGTTGTTCTAAGACCACAATAGACTGGACACATAAAAGTACTTATAATGGGACTACTTTTACATGTTATACCTTACCTTAAAGTTCTAAGTCTTATGTTTTACTAAGCATTATCAAAAAATTGTATTATTACTAAATTAGAATTTTTCTACCAGTAAAGTAACATTTACGAAGAAAAGTATAAATCCATATGTTTCTGCTCAATAAGCCTCTCTAGTCACTGAACTCAGATGCTTGACAGGAAACCAGAAGTATGAGGAAGGTTTTAATAACCACCATACTGTGGGGTCATTTTTCATCCAGACTATCACAAGATGAAATACTTGGGTACATTTGTTCTTTCCACCACACTACTGCTATAACCTACAGACACAGATTTTTCAGGAGGAAACTCCTGCACAACACCTGGCACACCACCTTTTCCTGCAAAGCACTACCTGCTCTGGCATGGCTATTTGTACCATCCCAGGTCATCTTTTAGGACCCCGATACAAATCCTACCGAAGGTGTTAAAAACAGAATACACCTATAATTTTGGTAGACTTCAGACTATTCCCTAAGTCTTCATCATCATCAGCTAGATTCTACAAGAATTAATATACACTGCTTTGAAACTCTGCTAGTATTAAAAGTTAAAGCTTTTTCAGCACTTCAAACAAAGGTTTACGATTTGCAAGTGAAGTGTTGAGGAAGGAGGAAGAAGGGCAGAACCTGGCACCAGGTTGTGCTTGATGAACACACCCTCCCCTGCAGCCACTGATAGTAACAGCCACCAGAGACTGAAGGGTATTAGGAAAAGAGAGGGAATTTGGATTCCCCATGTGCTTTCTGTAAACCAAACAAAAAGTAGCAGTGGCTTGCCTTGAATGTACGTTTGTACCTGAAGGAACCAGAGACCAGAGAAAGATTGATGGGATGCAGGAAAGAAGAATGGATAGAAACACAAAGAATGAGTCAGGTAGCGAGTGATAAGAGCAGAGGAAAGATGAAGAAAAGCTGGACTTAGTGTAGAACCATACAGGAGCAAGAACAAATGGTCAGGGATGTTGGTCAGAGCTGAGTGGCTTCAGACAGCAGGTAAGGGGAGAGAAAAACAGAAGGGTACAAGGCAGAATGTAAGCAAAAGGCAAGTAGTCCTCAACCTGTAGGTAAATTTTCTCCTTCCAAATCTGTGTCCCAAACCTCTACAACCTTAACAGTTGTCAGTTTTTAGCAAAAAGCTGTAAAAGCCACCAGTAAAACACAGATCTGATCTTTCTCAAGCAAATAATCTATTACCTTCTTTCTTCTATTTGTTTTCTATTAGTTGTCCTCTCTGAACACAAAGGTCTCTACTCTTCTGAGAATCTGAGATCAGTGTCATGTACCAGATAGGTTCTTAGGGTTGTGAACTCAGACACACAAAATGCTGCCTTGCCAGACTAGAATTGTACATGGGTGCCTTTTCACACAGCCTGATTAGAAATCACAGACTGTCCTGTCACAAGTCCCCCTTCAGAGAGGTGCCACTGCCACATGACAGATGTAACATATAGTACCAGAAACCTGGTGAAGTTGGAATTCTCAGAGGAGCAAAATAATAGTACTTTAAGCTGTAGTTTGTACAGTGAACGCAGAATGAAGAGAGCTCTTACGTGGGCCTTTTTATGCATGTGTGTATATATATATAAACAAAATTTGTATAAATCATAGCCATTGTTAAAATGGAGGTAGGGGGATAATACTTGAGGTTACAGTTTCCTAAAACTATGAAAAGACAACAAAAATTGCTCATATATATTCTGTATATGTGAATATTATACTTCAGCACTGTGCTATCTTTGGGTAACAGAATCCTAGCAACAGAACTTTCAGAAGTTTTACTGTAAAACTCGCTGTCTGTATGACTATCATCAGCTTTCATCTGCCTAGCTTATCATTAGACTGAAAGCCCCACAGACTGTAATAAACAATTTCTGCATTTTATGAAATAGTCCACATTACGCAGTCTGTTTTGTGAAATAATCACGAAATTCCATTTTTTCTCCGTTATTTTTGTAATTTGGTGTAATGGAAACATTTAGACACTTAGTTTTATGGTGACAATGTAAAAAATTCACAAACTTATTGTTTTATGCCCCACATTATCCCAGACAGGAGAAGGTTCAACACTGCATGAGCAAACCACATGACACGGACACAGTCAAATCACAGGACAAATACGGTCACCACATGACAAAGCTAACGGGTCATACACAGAGGGCTCAGGTGCATACGGTTACCTCACACACTAGGCACCAAACATAAAACTCAAACTAGGAAAAATGCTTACTCTATTCCCCACCCTGTGCCTCCAAAAATCACCCCCAAGGCCAGAATGGTCCCTGCCACTGCACCTATTAGCCTGTTAGCAGCCATGCTCACTGTGTGGAGGGAAAAGGGAAGATTTTTTAAGGAAATTATCACATATATGTCTGAAATGTAAACATGAAACAATTCCTCAAAGGAATACTTTATGCTATAATCCACTGTTTGGATAAACAATTCAAATCTCCTCACAAACCTTTATTTACCAAATACTGCAGCTTTAAAAATTCTGAAGTGACATATATTCGGTTTTCTTTGAATGTTTGCAAATATTTCAATGAGAAGTTTTCCTGTAAATGAAAGACTATTCCTTTTACCATTGTGATTCTATTATTTATTTAAAAGAGGAACATCCTCAACCTACTGCTTATTTATAACAGCCAAAATGTAAATAAATTACCAATAAGAAAACTTCCTTTTGATCACCAAAACTAAGCAAATGAAAACTGTTCAGAAACAGTTCCACTGCAGGGAAAAAAACCCAAACACAACTTTGAAATTCATTCCTTTACTAGATAGTAATATTTTCCTTTGTTACTGCATTTATTAATAGGACTCGCTATTTATCTATATGACCTAAAGACAGACAACACCTTTTAAAAGCAAAAACCTACCTTAGCAACATGCTTCGGGTAACGCTCTGGAAATTCTGATATGTTCAGATAGTCTCTCTTAAGACATTAAGGCCTTGTTTTTAATTTTTAAGGATACTTGTTTGAGAAAAAAACATCTGTACATTTCCTATGTTAGAGATTAAAAGTTTGATAGATTCATTGACTCACAATAGACCACAAGGAAGCAGCTGAATTCCCTATCCAATGGGAACTCTTCCAAGGGACAAAAACTTTACAGACTTCATGCTGAATGAAGTCTGTTTTGAAATGCTTTGGGTAGTTTTCTTCCAAAATTTTCTTCCAAAAGTTTCATAAATATACACACACAAACACACACACACACACTCAAGACATAAGTTTTATACTAAAATAAACACTACTCCACTAGTGAAATAAAGGACTAATTCTGCAAATTAAATGGTAAAGGAAGAATCTCATGTGCCAGTACTCTAAAGTAATTCAAAGTTTCTGCAGTAACCAAAAACTAACAGCAAGAACTCTTTGTCTTCCCCAAACTGCTAAATGCTGTGTACATCTTCTAGTACAGGATACAGTAGGTTGCTGAGTTTAGAACAATTCAAGGGTCATGTATTAACAGCAACATAATAATAAGGACCACTAATTTTTTTAATCCTGAAATAGAAAACAGAGCCAAAGAGCAATTGATGGATGATGGAAAAGCCTGAAAAGTGCAGCAGGAGTAGCAGCCAATTGTCAGTTATCATAATAATATATAAATAATTAGCAATACTTCCTAACTATACATGTTCTAATTGTAGTAAGAAAAATGCTTGGATTTATGGTGTGAAAAATCTTAAACCTATTAGGCTTTAATTTTCACATCATGAGTGTTTCATTTCTGAAATGTAACAAAATTCAATCTTATGGCTAAGAAAAAACTAGTATTTTGGTTTCTGTCTCAGATTTGTAAACTGGCATATGACAAAGGGAGTAATAAGGGGAAAAAAGTTAATGGAAACTACTTGAGTATGTTGGATCTTTACAACAGAGAAAAATACTCCTGAATTCTTCTGAAATCTTCTCACAAAGGAATTCCTCTATAAGCATGCAGAAAGAAATCACAGTAGCTCTGTTAGTGTTCAGGGGTCCTAAATTCATTTCTAGGGGATTCAACATCAATAAATTACTGTAACAATATAAGAAATATAATCCATCTTTTGAGATCACTGAGCCACCTTGTACAAAAGCATAGTCTGCCTTTTTTCAGAGGAATCCATTAAAAAATGCAGTCTAAATGTTGTCTGTACCTACTGGCAGAAATCCATGTACATACCATTCATTTAAGGCTTTTGCCCAAAATATTTCAGCATTGATGTATTAATTTTCACACAGGCATTTCCATTCTGAACTAGAGGAGTTAATCTGGCTTACACTAATATAACCAAGGTAAGCATACCTCCTGTGTTGCCCTTCCTACAGATCTTTTTAAAGAGAAGGGAATTAATTCTTACCTACAGGATTTGGAAACGAGCAAAATAAAATTCATGTACTCTCTCAATGTCACAGCTGTAAATACTGCTCTCCTCATCCACACACACAGAGAACTGAACAGCTCTATAGTGCTAGTCTCCATAATTTTTTTAAGACTCTGTAAGCAGCGTTCTACAGTCAGGAAGGTTTTCAGGGGAAATGGAACGACAAGTAGCTGTGTAAGGCAGGGTGCAAAACAGGCAGCTACACTGAACAGTGGTGGGATTAGAAATCCAGGAAGCACCTGTACAGATTCCCTCATACAAATCTGGACTGTTCAAGAGAGCCTCCTTCACAACAGCAATTTGTTTTAAGACTATATCTTCAACAGTTCTTGGTAAAGGTCTACTGGAACCATTCTGCTAAAGGGCAACAGGAAAAGGCACACAGGACAGATGTAGAGCCTTTCTGGAGGGACATACCAAAATCCTGCCCTTCTTGAAACCTTGGATATTTTAGAGTAATCAATTAGAGTTTGACCCCTAAGGGCTAAATATTTAAGCAACTCTATCTTTTTCCCATCTGCCTTGTAAAAAAGGCAGAAGAACCTGGAACTGGGACATGGGGAAAAATTTTGTTTGTGTTTCTCAGTTGTTTATTGGGAACTTTATCCGTAAATGCATAAGATTTGATGAATATAGTCTGATGTTGGACAATACCCTGATGACAAGATACAAAAACTGGACAGCACAATCCAAAGATATTATTTGGCAGAGAAGTCAGAGAGAATCTCAAGTGCTTTTCTTCCTCTTTGAAAAACTTTTTTGATGAATTATTTCCTCAATACCTCCTCTTTGTATTTATACTTCATATGCAGTTGAAATACCAACTAAGTACATAAGAATAAGCAATAATGATTGTAAAAATAATTTAAGTTCTTAAAATCTTAATTTATTTCTTTTGTCTTTCATTGAAATCTGATTTCAAGGAATCTGATTTCACTAGGGACATTCCACTTTTCCCTTTTTTATGCCATAGCTCTCTGAATTAGCTGAGAACAACTAAGGAAACTGGAAATCCCTAGTAAAACATAAATACTCAATTATCATATAAATAACAAGAGACACAGTCAGGTTCCAATCATAAAGAAAATTAACATTAAAAAATAGAGAATAAAGGAAAAAACATTACCTGTTGAAATCTTCCCCAAATTTACGTTAGAAAAATAAAAGTTTCATCAATTCTCAAAGTAGAAAAACCTACTTCATCTACACAGCTGTGCAATAGTATTCTCTTTTTATATGCTAATTCTACTACCATGTATCAATGGAAAAATGTCATAAATACTTGAAAGAACATCAAAACTGAAACAAAACACAAACCCTTGGGTCCTTCCTCCTTCTTGCCACCAGTATCCCTGACAGGATCATCAATGCTGCAGTCTGTCCCAGCCCAGGAGAAATTACAAATGCAAGTGGCTTCATTACTACAAACCTGGAAAAGACAATAAGTGACAGCAGTTAGTTTTTAACTACATTTTATTAACTTTATTTAACATGTAATGAGATATTTAATTCACGATATAAAACTTACCCATTTATATATTTTTAACAATGGCATTGAGTGGTTGGAATGATATAACCCAACAATAATCTGAAAGTTTGCTTTAACCCTCTTAATACACTCAGATGCTAGGAAAAGCAGAACTGGTTCTATCATCACTTGCACTACAACCTGCACAGGTTGTAAAAAAATAACAAATTTTCATCCAAAAAACCCTGTCTAAACTAGTCATGTTTCACTAACTTCACTAACCAAATATCTAGACTTTGAGCCTGAATGCCCAGAAGGAACACAAGCATTTGTGTGTGAAAGGGTTCAAGACATGGTTACACTTTACAACCTCTCATTTACAGTTTGCTCCCATGTAAAACAAAATCGATATATTTTCATTGGTTTCACTGGCATTTTTCCTAAGCAGCAATGAGGAGTGCTTGTTCATCTTCTAAAAGACAGGTAACAGTGCTTCCTAAGTTTGCATTTGGTTGAATGACCTCTAAAACAGGACTTAGGACTCTAAAATTGACAATAGATTTATCAGATACAGGAAAATCTAACCAATGGACAAAACCTAAAACATCAAATCAACAGGGAGAGTTAATAGCTATAAATTTTGCATACAAAAAAGAACATGGAGAAGTTACTACAGAAAAAAGAATGACATGAGAAACAGAAAACTAAGAGTGAAGTCAATCATTAGACAAACAGCTAACAGTATCTTCTGGACACTGGAACATGATGTGAAAAAAAAAGCAAACAGCAAACAACCTACACACTAAGTAGCATTTGTGATTTTTTTAATTCAACTTTTATCACACTTTGTTTCTTAAAGTACTCACTGAAGAATCTGATCTAGGAAGTTGAAGATAAATAGATCTTATGGCAGGTTTGATCAAGTGAAATACCCTTTTAAAATTGGGAATTGTAATAATCCAAAACAAAACAGGTAAGATGGTTCACTCACCCTCCATGCCACTCTCAAAAAGTACCAAGATGATTTCTAGATCTCCTAGATACTTTACTTTCCAATTTTAAAATTTTTCTTCTTGATTTTGAACCTAACCCTCCTCTTTTTTGAAACACTCAATTTCATATTCAATTACAGACAACAAGAAGAAAAAAAAACACCTTCTTGTATCAAGTCTAGCCCCTTTGGCAAGTGTTGTCCCACTGAATCCCACCACAGAAAGGTTTTATCGCTATTTAAAACAGGAAATCTGTTCATCAAAACATACCTAGTATCTTAGACAAATGGAGTTATGGATAGAATAACATAATATAATGTGCCTGAATGTAAAATTATACACTTTGAGTCTGTTCAAGAAGAATGTACCCTCTCTGTTGAGGACCCACAGTTTGGAATTTTAATTATTTAAGTCATAAAGTATAAATCTATGAACACAGGACCAACTTTACAAAGGTGACAGTATGCAGGAAAAAGTTTAACTGAAAATGGCAAGTGGCTTGAAATATGGGTAGTCCATCACAGAAGTCTTTACAATAACTAGTGTCAAAGTTCCTTCTTGCTAGTAACAAACCAAATACTTCAGATGTAATTGGAGAACTAATCTGACAATTTTGCTTTCTAAAATTTTATCTTTGCTTCACAAAATGGCAGTTTTCCCCTGAATCTTAACATTTCTGCTTTCAGATCAGCAGGTCTTAAGAACACTTTCAGGTAGAGAACTGCACAGGGTGCATTAGGATCAGGTACAGCAGAGGGAGCTGGGGAAGCTGAGCTGCTCACTCCCAGTACAGACTCACCCCATGACCAGAACAGACTTTTCCATTAGAACCAGTGGGACAGCTGCTTATGTTCAAGGACTGAATTGGCAGGCACTTTTTGTCCAGACACATCATTTGAGGTCCACATGGAGCTCCATCCTCCACATAACCTAAATCTGTATCATCATCTAAAAGAACATGAGCACCACTAGGAGAAATAAGTTTTAAGATACTATTAGTATTATGTCTGGCATCTCCTGAAAATATTAAAAACATGTCAGTGTAGGTACTAAAAGCCTCATATCTTTCTTTCATTTAAAGATAGACTGATAGACTGAACAAAACTATAAAGTTTTTCTGCCTGTCCACAGCAATGATAAGGTGTTCCAGTTGTCGAACTAAAAACAAGTCTATATATAAACTTAACTACTCAAGAAGGGCACCTTAGGCCTAGGAGATTTTTAAGCCTTTGACAAACCACGCTTTTCTCTTTTTTTTTTTTCTTTTTTTCTTTCCCTTTTTTTTTTCCACCAAAATGCTTTGAAATACTAATGCTAGAAAAATATCAAGAACTAACTTCCCATATGATGATATTTAAATAAAAACACTAGTAGAATAATGGAAGAATTAAGAATCACAGTTCATTCAGGACCTAACTATGCAAGAGAGTATTCTTAGCATGACAGGAATGTTGCCAATGTCCTTAAAATACAAACCTAGTATCGTGAAAAGCAGACTAAAACCCATTTACCTGTCCTTTAACTGAACTGTAGCTTAATATCTTATCCTGACACAACTCTGCAGTTTCCTTCTTTTTTGTCTTCACTTCCCTACAGCTATTTCTCTGAGTATTTAATACTCAAAATCATTATGTTTAAAATATGGGTCTTTGGCAATACAGACTTTCTCCACCCCCAGAAAAACATAATGCTGAGCGTTATCATTAAGCTCTGACTGTGAAGTTCTGCTATTGGAGGGATCAGATACAGTAATCAGAAGGATAACCCACATTCAAATGTGGAATAACAGGCTTTTATGTATTTTTTTAATCAAAAGAAATACCGCTTAGAATAATGATTTTGCTGCAATATATTAATTACCTAAAATTCACAGAATTTTACATTTATGCTTATCTTAATTCAATTAGGTTTGACAGAGCAAAATCACGTTGGAATACTGCATTATCTTTTACCTGCAGTCCACTATGCGTCCTTGATGATAAAAAGAATTTGGGATAATTTCTCCTTGAACTTGACCAACTCGTGGAACTCTAGTAAGATTAGTACAGAGCAAAAAGCCACAGAAAACATCACTGTAAAATGAAAACATAAACCAAAATATTACTGGAATAATACAAGGTAGACTTACAAAAAAGAAAGTCTGGCAATGATGCTGCTGATCACAGTAATATATTACCATAAGCCACATGATAGACTTTCAGAGTACAAGCCTGGAAATAAAATACTATTTTATATAAATGATAAAAGGCAGAAACAAGTCACCATTCATTCTAATGGACCAGTGAATGTTCACGTGAACAAAGAATGTATCTGGGTTCTAAGTACCATACCGTACAATTTAGAGGAGCCAAATCATACAAAGCTTTGTCATGTCAGGCTAAATTACTTTTCACTCTCTCTAGCAGCTTATATGCCACACATTAATGTCACTTTTGAATTTTTAATTGAATTTTATTTCCCTTGCAAGACAACAGAACCATAATAACAATCATTAGCAGTTGTGTGTGCCCAAAATTTCATTAAAAATCTGCTTTATTTTATTTTGTTTTATATCTAAATATATTTCAATATATCTTACATAAGATACACAAGATAACTCTTATATCTTCAATAGAAGGATATCAGCTAATACTAATTGTCCTAAGTCACAGAAGTAGCTAAATGAATGATGGAAAATGCCTTTGTTAAAACTGCTTTGTTTAAATAGCTCTTCAGTTAGATCATTTTCCTGCATCTCTCTACCAACAAAGAAAAGCTTTTACAGAAATGAAATTTTTCATGTGCACATCAGACTAACACTATTCCTATCTAAATATATTTTAAACAATTCATTAAACAACTCCTTTCCTTATGATCCTATATGAAAAATAATTTTTAAGAAAGGCACTTGACAAACATCAAATAGTCAAAGAAGGAAAACACCATTGTGAGACTGAAATTTGTATGTGCATACTTAAATTTCTTCTGATTTATTTACTGTAATTTTAAAGTCTATCCACTAATGATCATTACCTAGAAAAGTAAATTTAATCAAATATTCATCTAGTAATGATCACACGCAAATGAATCAGCCCTTTTCTCTATAGCATCCAAATGTCTAATGGTCCTCTCTGATCAAAATAATGGTTGGAATGAGTTTGAAACAGCACAATCTGGTATCAATCCTAGAGCAGTCAAAAATAGCATGTGCATCTGCAGCCTAATGTATCACTACCAAGTCTGAAGTGTTTGTACGTTATAAACTTGTGCATTTTTGTTGTGTTGTCCCTCAGCTCCTCTGAAATAATTAAAGTCAGTATATTCTTCTGAAAACCTGGAATTCTTTCCAAGTGTATTGCTGAGTCACCCATGGATTTGTCAGAGTGGAACTTTTTCAAGAGGCAAACCTTGTGAGGGAAAGAAGACTCAAAATAATGCAAAACAAACTGCTGAAGCATTCAAGAAAAAGTAGAAAAATTAGACAATATGAAACCATTATCAATCTATTTACATTACAAATAATCTCTACCAAGATGAACTTACTGTTTGCTGCACTGAATCCATCGGTCTCCATCTTTTCCACAGTTTCCCTTTGTTGTGCCTTCTGTATTAAGCTTTTCATAACAAAATTTGTCAGATCCTGAAGACTCTATTGATGAAGAAAAAAGAAACGTGCTTTCCACTGGCAACATGAGAGCTTTGAAACCTGCATAATTTATTGCAGCACTTCTCTGTAATTTTTTTAGTACAAAACATCAATCTAAACACACATGTATGTGTAGAGACCATATTTTCCAGTGACTACAGTAGGAAACCACCAGGCTAAACTGAAATACCTACTGATGGCTTTTTTAACTAATGCTCAATAACTCAAAATTTGCTCTGAACTTCTAAAAATGTAGCCTCCACAGTGCCTGAATTTTCTTCTGCATATGAAATTTATCTGTGGTCTAATTTTGTTAACTTCATAACAGTTGTACATAGATTTAAATCTAGTTGTTTTCTCTGATGTCATTCCTGATATGCATTTCAGAAGATCCAAGATTTTATATATGACATTTATGATAAGCATATGTTCTGACATCAACTCTATGCTTATTTTATTCTATTTTTCAGGTGTTGATAGCAAAACAAAAGTTGAACAGCCAAAGTGTAATTTCTACTTATTTTTAGGAGTAAAAATCTGAACAAATATGTTTTCAAACCCACAATTATTTACTAAGAAGCTCATTTGTTTTTTCTAAAAATAAATTAAAAAAAAAAAGAAAAAAGAAAACCACAACAATATATAGAGGAAGGTACAATAATAAAGATAAATAAGACAGAGTAGTTTCAGTGGCAGTTATAATTAGACAAGATGCACAAGAAAACATTAACTGCCAGAGTACAGGAGACCGTGGTAGTTCGGCTCTGCTGAATTGTCTCAAAGTCATTACACAGAACATTCACCCCCTCTAGACTTAAATCTGTAATATGCCTATTTAATAATGTACTAATTTTCCTGACTTGTAGGATGTTACAGCAAAGAGAGGCAAGGTGGAGCAGCATGAACCATTGCCGGGATAATGGGATTGACAACTGTCATTTAAAAACACTCAAGACATCTGTTTTTGAACTGTAACCAAAAAATCCTCAAACCCCCTCACCCTGGTAACGTTTGCTGCCCTACCTAAGTCTGCAGCCACATCACATCAGAACAGTCTCACTGACACCACTCCCAGACAGAATTTCACCCAGCAATCAAGCCACAGTTTCCCACTGCAGTCTACTCACTCTACTGATCAGAAGACTTTAACTTAGAAAGAAAAGAACAAAAAATAAAAATACTGAAAATACAAAACAAAAGCAGGAATGAACCAGAAATAAAATACATTTAAGGTAGTTAAAGTCAACCTACTAGATCCCCAGATATATTTGCACTGATTATCTCTTGTCTTGCATTCACCATTATAGCAACGACCCTAAACAAAACACAAGATGTTAGCAATGAGAACTGAACACTACTTCATCTCCTTCCCCTCCCATGACAAATGTCTCATTTTGACTCTTCACACACATGTTGGGATCTATAACAGTTTTCATGGATTTGGGTAGATGGAGTACACATTTTGGCCCAGATTCCCAAAGCCAGTTGGTGTCCAATACATATTGACATTTCAGCAGTTGCTTTATATTTCCCCTTTACACAGTTATAAAGAAGTTATTAATGTGGAGTGTAATAAAAGAGCTACATGTAAAATGTAGAGATACCAAGTGGATTTTATTTAAAGTAGAATCCTGGACTATTCATAGTGTGCATAAAGCACAAGCAACATTGATGTTGAAAGGATAAAATTTATGACGAAATATGGAATACAGAATTTGAAAAAAAAAAAAAAAACAACTCCAAAACAAAAATGTGTATTTGGTTGGTTTCTATATGCTGATGTGCAATTTTAAACATAGCATACCTGATTAGAATCACAGGCATACCCATCTTGTTTATGAAGATTCGGTGGACACTGAAAAAAATTAAGATTTTTTACTGTTATGTGTCCTGTAATAATACATCACAGTATCACATATGGAATTTTCCTGGGTTTAAGACAACCACACAACATATAAAGGGGGTAGAGAACATAACTGGTGCTGCAATCTTTATAGTTACAAATACAAATGAAAATAATCAACATCTTGAGCCATGAAATACACGGTTCCAGTCTAACTTTCTGTATATTCTAAGTAAAAATTAAGGAGCTGAGGAAAAATGGAAACAAGGTGTTCAGTAACAGGACATTTGGTAGCTAATACTGGGGCCGTGTCTGTAATGCTGCCACTGCATTCAGTTCAGCTCCACTACAAAAGTAAGCAAGCACCTAGTTATAGCCTAGGTGCCTACTGCTTACAGAGATTTGGGGGGTTTTATGATATTATTTCTTGTGTTCTCTTGGCATTGGAAACTTTTTTGGTCCAGAAACCTTAGACTACTAAAGCTAGGAGCAAACCATTCTCGAAGTTTTTCCTCATCTAAAATGGACCTGTGAAAATTTGGAAAGGGTATGCTGCTGCAATGTGCCATATTAGCCAGTACTCTGAGGGCAGCCTTCTAGCTTGAGAAAGCCCTTCTCCCTCCCATTAAGAATGCTCTACCTACAGAATAAAAGATTTACAATAAAATACCAGCAATAGCTACTTATCTGGAAGTATGGGTGCCCTAGATGATAAAATTAAAAAAAGGTACTGTAATTTATTGGCATCTATAATTACAGCCAGTGCCCGAAGAGAATGTGATCCATCCTGAATCTTATTTCTCCAAAGCTAAGAGCTTGATGCAGCAGATGACTGCACCAGTTATGAAATTCTCATATAAACTTGGAGTTCATATAAATAGAATAAATATATAAATACTCAGTGAAAGGGTGCATGTATCACCTAAAGTATCAAAGTTGCTGTGAAAACAGAAAATGTGCAGAATGTTCAGTGTTTAAAAGAATTCAAGTTAAAACATATTGGTTGCTGTTTATTCCTAAACTTCTGAGTATTAGCGAACTGTTTGCAGGAGAAATGCATAATAAGATCCACAACTTTTAAAATTCTCATACACATGCACACCCTTAAAAAACGTAACACTTCATACAAGTCTTAGAGGCAGCAACTGAGGGAGTTGGGGTTGTTTAGCCTGGAGAAGAGGAGGCTTGCAAGGACCTTCTTACTCTCTACAAGAGTACAAGGAGGTTGTAGCCAGGTGGGGGTTGGTTTCTTCTCCTCAGGTAACAAGGGACAGGATGAGAGGAAACTGCCTTAAGTTGCACCAGGGGAGGTTTAGATCGGATATTAGGAAAAATTTCTTCACCGAAAGGGTTGTCAAGCATTGGAACTGCCCAGAGAAGTGGCAGAATCACCATCCCTGGAGGTATTTAAAAGACACGTAGATGTGGCACTCAGGAACGTGGTTTAGTGGTGGACTGGGCAGTGCTGAGTAATGCCTGGGCTCGATGACCTTAAAGGTTTTTTCAACCTAAACGATTCTATGCTTCTATACTCAATTAACTGTAATTTTCTACATCTATATTTTTAACTATTTTATTTCATAAAATCTTACTGTTACCTTTGAATACATTCAAATTTGAAGTATATTTGTATTATTTAAGTTACAGACCAGGCAAAGAGAAATATTATACACAAAACCCCATGAGCAGTAAAAAAACCAAATAAACCTACAGAAGTCTTATTATGAGTCCACTTAGATTATTTTTGTGAGTTTACAATAGTTCATTCTTACGTTTAAAATTTTTTGTTAGTATTAAGAAATACTCACCCACATACCCCATCATTTTGAGTATATGAACGTGCAGTTTGTTAATCCAGTTTTCCTCTTGAATGAACACAAAAAAGAGTACAAACAAGCATCAACAGTGTAAGCAGAGAAGGGTTCTGCACACATACCTGTCCAGAATCCCCAGTGCAGAACTCTGCAATATCACATTCATTCACTGCATATCGACAGTCGTAACCTCGTGGGAAAAACTAGAAAATGAAAAATATAGTTCAGGACTAAGATTATATCCACACAAGCTGTTCCTTTTCATTCATAAAACACACTCAGAACTTTAACAGGCTGCACGTGACCATGGACAACCGAAAAGAACAATAGATATAAGGCAGCAACACTCACAAGACATGATGTATTACAGCAGGGTCCATCACTACAATGAGCTCCATTAGAAAGAGAGCACTTCTTACAACAGTCTGCATAGCATTCCTGAAGAAAATATTAAGCAAAAGTTTGTTTTTTCATTTTCAGCTAGTTTTTTCTTCCTGATCTTTCCAACAAACTATTACATAGCAGCCAACAAAAGATTCAGTTTAGCACTGATGACCTGAAATTATCATCTGGAAGAAAACTTTCCAATACTCAAGTACTGAAGTAAAGGGATAATATAATGCTATAGCAACATGGAGATTTACATCTTCTGAAGCCTCTTCATAGGTGTGGAACAGCTGTGCCAAATGCATGCTGCTTAATCATATTCAAGGCAGAAAAAAAAGATTAAGAAAACTAATTATGGATACAATTATATTTAAATACTAGAGCTAGGATTCAAATCTACAGGGTAGATTTTTGCAGAAACGTTATTGGAATATTCCTAGAATAGAGAAGAAAACAACAGTTTACTTGTTCTGTCCAAACACAGGCACCTATCTCCAAAGTATCAATATGGAGTCTCCTACTCCAGACACATTATCTAGGAAAAGTAAAGGGATAAATCACTTCTACATTGCAAATCAAAAACTGCTGGGAAACAGCTGCATCTTGTCATTAGTATGACAGGAACAGTTTTGAGGACACTCTCTGTCTTTGCACTCATTCTCATTTAGAAAAATGTTTTCAGACGGTGCTTTAATGAAATTGTTCCCAAACAATAAGAAAAACAAATATTCATAACCTTTCCCCCCTCCCTTACCAATCACTTAGTTTATCTTAGCATATTTTGTAAGAAAGACTTGTGGAGTAATATATCTCAACTTGCCATTCGGAAACCGCAATCACATTCTTCTCCTGCTTCTACATATCCATTTCCACACTCTGTGGTCTCAAAGAGCTGAAAGAAAAAAGCCCCCAACCCAAAGTAAGAATAAAACTAGTGTCAAATGACTTTTCTGTCACACACAACCCATTTCTGTGGTGCTACAGACACATGCTGTCACGTGCCGTGCTTTGGCAATGGGAAAGGCAGCGTGTTTTTCAAGTGCTCCTATTCAGAATTGATCAGACATGAAAGATGTACAGCTAAATCACATGGATGCTAGTCCTCTTTAGGACAATACTGATCTCAGGAAATGATGATAAACAGAGAGACACTACAATGACACACAAGGGGACAATATCTGAACTTCATTCCTGTTCTATATACTTCCAGTTCTCTGACAATTCCCTCAAGAAATTAGTCTGCAATATCATGTCTGGGATCTACTCAGGTACCCATTCTTGCTCATGCAATTAGCTACTGTCTATTCCTGTGCACCATGTTTGTGCATGAAAATAACAACCATTAAAAAACACCGCCAAAAAGAAGTTCTATGTGCCTTATTAGTAAGTTATATGCAACCACATACAGATACTAAACAGTTAATCCTAGGACCAGACATATACAATACAGATAAATTCTACAGTTCAGGATGATATAGGTTCTATACTGATTTCACATATCATAATTCTGATTAAAGGTATTTTTCAGTCTTGTCAAAGATATAATTTTGAAAAAAGCTTGTCTGTTATCAATTATAATTCTACTTTAAAGCAATAGTAAAAGTAAGAATATACAGAATCTCCAATTTAACTGGGATATTAGTAGCAGAAACACATTCACTAGAACATGGTTGAAATGAGAAGTTAAAAGTTAAGTTAAAATGAGAACAGATAAATCTACAGCTAGATAAGAGTGAAAGATGCAAGTAAATGTTCTTTCTAGTGGAAGGAAGCTGTTGAGGATCATGCAGATATGAAACATAACATATAATACCAGTGATACATAAACTTGGATGGAATTGTTCTTTGGAGGACTTTGGGGGGGGGGGGGGGGGGAGGGCAGTGGGGAATCATAATGCCTAATAAGAAACAAATAAAACATTATACTTTTGTTGCATAAACCACATACGTAATCAATAGCACCTACAATTTTGTGTACCAAAAGCAAAACTATACTGAAGCAATACCCATATGTACTCTTCTTCAGTAGCAATGTTGTCATGATTAAAAAACCACTGAAATCTCTCATTCCTTCCCCCTCCATAAGCCACTGTTTCTATTACACTTCAGAGGAAACAGCAAGAGCTCTTACTCCGAAACTGAAATTCAGTTCTCTGTCAAACAAGAAATTACAGAACACAAGCATGCACACACAAATTTCCTGTGGTATTAATCAGGAACCATCTAATGTTCATATATATGTCAGAACATAACTCAGGTTGTAATTTAAAGAAGTGACTGCTTAACAAGAACTCTGTTTTGTTTACCTAAGAATTAAACACACCATTTTGAGCCTTAACTCCTAACCTCCAAATAACAGGATTCTAAGCATTGTATGATTATTTTTTTCCTCAAAGCACTTCAAAGCTGTAAAACACTGACACAGATAATGTATAAAGACCATTACCCTGGGAGCATTTTCCCAAAGTAAATCAGGTTTTTTTTCTGTATAGAGTTGACAACTTCTTCACATTACTTTGCTAGATAACTACCATTAAAAAATGAAGCTGTGTTTTTCTATTTCCCTACTTACTCCTTCCTGTAAAAATTCTTACATTCTTATTCTATAAGCAAAGATTGCTACCCTGGAAAAGATAAAAACCACTCAAACAAGTCAAACTGATTTTAGTTAATCATGCAAGGTGATGGTCTACCAAGGGATACAGGAGAGTAAACAGAACAGCCTAATAGCCTCATGCGATACTAAATTCCACAAGGACAGCAAGTTTGACACCATGATTAAATAGAATATTAATGCTTTGGATTGCTCTTACTTGGCAAAAAGAGCCACATGGAATATTTTTATACTACTCCGCTTTAGAAGGATGTCATGCTAACATTGCCTTAGAAAAAAACTATGACCTTGCTAAGTTTTTAGGTGAAAAAAAGCATTAGATGGTACAAGGAAACAGTTATGAATTACAGGGTTTGCTAGATGTACAGCTGAAATGAAATGAAGTTAACTTTGAAAACAACCATGAGCTACTACTGTCTACATGAAATGAGCTATGGATTGATTTTTATTTCCTAATGTGGTAATTTTCAATCTTTTTAACAACCTCAGGCAAAAAGTCCAAGAATTGAGTGTATGTGAAGCACATACTATGACCTCACTTCTGGATTTATTTTGCACTGCTTCCAGCTTAATAAGTAGTGCATTTATGCTGATGGGGATTTAGCTAGCTGTGAAAAATCAACTGCAATATTTGTCGTTATTTCACCATGAAGAATTGATGGAAAACAAGTTGTGTTCCTCTCAACATTATTTTTAAATGTTAAAGGAATGAACAGGCAGCTAATTACAAACAACCTAGAGAAATTACCCACATAGACATCTGAATAAACTTTAGAACAGATGTATATTAGTAAATTATTACATTTTCACTGCAATGTTTGGCAGACGTGCTGACTACCAACTGATTTCTTACCTTTGTTGGCCTGTTAAAAAGACAGGCACCTCCCCCACGAAGTAAAAATTCTTTGTATTCTGCAATGCTGCATTTGGAGAATTTCCTGGAATGGTATACCCTAAAATGGCAAAGAATTAGCTGAGTAAATGACTTCAAACACCACCAGTTACTGGAAGGGGGTAATTTACATTTAATACTGTAAATCCCAGTTTCTTACAACCACAGTGTGCAACAGTATGACAGCTCAGTCTTATTCTCAAACAATAAAATCAGAACAAAAGAAAAAGGTTTAAAACACTTTGCATTTTTATATATCTACTTTATGGGTGTAAAGTATATAAAACTGTAGTCTTCTAATCTTCTCAATAAGGTGAAAATACACTCTCATAATAGTTGCTATGCATCTTGTCGATTGCATGCACAATCCAGTGTCCCCTTGTGTTTGTTTTTAGCATCTACAAGATGCTATAGCAAGAAGTTTCACAGATTATTTACAGACTGGTAGAAGAATAATTTCATTCCATTTTTTAATGTCATATTTGCTAATCTCATTTCATGTCTCCCTAGTTCTTACACTGGAAGAAATAGTAATCACTTGTTCATGACGTTACAGACTTCTCTCACATTTCCTCACTTCCATCTTTTTCCCAGACTAATGAAAACGTACTTTATCAGTAATTTCTCACACAGAAACGGTCTGATATTTGTATTAGTCATGTTTTGAGATCTGGGAATAAGATCTAGTCACACTGTTAAAGATTAGGGTAGCCATGCCGTAAGGAGGTTCTTTACCCTTTCCTAGCTGCTCACTGCTGCCAAGCTGCCATATCCCTACTGAATTGTTCTATATACAAAAAACGCCTTCTGAAGCCTCAGTGATGTGGTTAAGTGAAAAGGCTTGAAACTGCAGCTAATTATTCGCTCATTTCATTAGTCAGTCCTTTTTCAGCTCCTGGGTGACTATTTGCTCCTGGCATTTTTGTATACTGTTACCTTCTCTATGGAAGAATATCTTTACTACTGCTACTGAAAGTAGCAGCTGATACAAAGTATCAGCTCAAGGCTGATACTTTGATGAGTTCACCACGGGAAGGAAGCCAGTATCTATTCTGATCAATGTCTTACTTAGGATTCCAGAAGTAAACTTATGGAATGATTTTCTGTTGCGTTGATACAGTGGCTGACAATTGCAAGTCTACAGGGAAGCCACCCAGTTATTCTCCTGAAGGACCAATTTCCAAATACCATATGAAGAAACTAAGCTCCTTCTATCTTATTTGTAGATAGTTTTCTTCCTGATTTTTTCAGTCAAGCTTCCATAGTGAGGATGATTCTGCCAGGAAGTGATTTATAAGACTCAAAATCCTATGTTTCAAAAGTTACCCTTTTCTAATCAATTACAGTATAGAGAAAAGAATCTTTGGCAGTGTGTGAGGGTAGAGGGCAATGAAATTCCTCCCATAGAGATGTGCTTCCCCCTCAGAGTTCACTGACCATTTAGCTAAGGTTGAGTTCCAACTGCTTCTAGTTTTTCACTTATTAGCATTAAAACACATGGATAAAACCCAATATATAAATATTTCTGTCATAATGTAAACTATGAACTCATTCCAGAGTCCTCAATTACTGGCATTTATGACATACCCTGTTTCCTCCATGATGCAACCACCCCAGGAGTCAGTGCAGTCACACTCTTCTCAGACAAGACCAAAATACAACAGAAAAGGAAAGAAGTTATAAACATGTTTACAATAAATATAAAGTACTTACTATAAAAATGGACCTTGACTAATTATACAAAGATCTGATGGTTGCTTGGCTGTACAAACTTTAGCCCCAAGAAGGAAACCAGTCCACTTCAAGACATACTAATATACTTAATAAATGTGGTACTTTCAAATTACCATATGTGCATCCTCTTAGTCTCAGCACGAAGTTTCAGGCAGTACAGAAAGCTAAAAATAGCTGGCAATGTTCTTCCCTACATGCTCTCAAAACAGGCAGCACAAGGCTGTGTGCAGTACACTTAGTATTCAAGATTTAAAATATTCGCATTTCCTCCTCCCTAAAAAGTATGCAGAACACCCTGAAAGAGAATTGTTCCTGGACAGGCCAGTTCTTCTTAATAATAGAATTATTAATAGTAATATGTGAAACAGCCAATCAAACATTCATTGGAAAAAGTAGTTGAATGAAAATGGATTTACAGTTTACTTACAGCTATAGCATGTAAGTCAACAGTGACCAAATTCATAACATAAAAGTAAAGGATCAACACCTTATGGTTGGTAAAACAGAAGTTACAAATTACGCATAAAATTATCTACCAAAGAAGTAATATTTTTAAAAAGAAACGTTCTGTATTGTAATTGCTACTGGAAAACCACACTGCTTGTCCATGGGAAATATACAGATAATTTTTATGGTTATTTCTGCTCTATCCAGGTCTTTTACTAATCCTTCTCTATAAAGGACATCCAAATAAGGAAACTAAACTATCATATCAAAAACCTTTATCTTACAGTTAAAAACATGTTCTGATTTCCAAACTAAATGAGCTCGGTTTTACCTGTTATCAAAAACAATGATATAGAAAATGTCTTAGCAATTTGTCAGTTTACACAATTCAAAACCAATGCTTTACAAAACAACATTCCCTAAACATTGTTTTCTAATCCACAGATTTTTGAAGTGATTCCACAATTAAGTCAACTTTATAACTCATATTTTTGAAGAGGAAACAAAGAGAAAAGGTAGCCAAACTGCTCACAAAATGCAAGTAAAAAAACCCAACAATTTTCTTTAGCCTCAAAAAGGGCTTTGCAGCAGATTTTGTACTGACACTACATGTGTTAAGGCCACATAAATCTAATCTGGCTGCGAAGCAGCAAAATAACAAGTTGAGCAAACGTCACACTGGACTAGGTTACAGCTCCTTATCATTTCTTCAATTATAAGTCAGGTACTTTTGTATTTTAAGAAGTCAGTGATTGTGTAATAAGATTTACAGATTCCATTATGATAGAAAAGGAGTTCTAAATTAAATAAATGGCGTTTTTACCAATATACCTTTGAATGCTGGTTATGAATCTAACCACCTGACACAGGACATCACTGAGGTCATTGCCAAGTAAGTGCTAAACTTGTGTCTCTTATTTTGGTTAAACTCAAATCCTAGTGCATATATTTCCAAAAGCAGCACTTCTTGTTCTACAGTTACAGCAATTTTGGCATTTCTTTCAAACATTACAAAGGAAGAGTTTATATGCTTAGCTAAGAAGACAAAAGAAGACTCTGAGTCCATATACATACTCGGTTTCCTTGTAGCTGGGTCCCATTGTATTCCAAGGTTCTGAGCAAGACTTTGTGCTAGTTCCTGTGCCATGGGCAAAGGCAGGCCATACTGCATTTCAAGGGGAGCAAATTAAAAAAAAAAAAAAAAGAAAAAAAGAAAAAATTAATTATTGTAACAACACTACAGTGACTCATTCTGGCTTACCACGTACCTACTACTTCAGTAATTCAGTACCGTCAATCACAATTCTGTGTCCATACAAGGAAAATAAACTCAGTAAAGTTGAGTTTAACATAACAGAAAAAAATTTCCTCCCTTAACCACAGGGAATCTCTCCCTGCTGGTTAACCTAAAGAAAGAAGTCTATTTGATATATATATAATGCACTTTTGTATAGTATGATTAACCCATCTTAAAACAGGAGACTTTAATTATCAATTTAACATTACACTGAGATAAAATAATAATAATAATAATTAAAAATTCAATACACCAGGACAGTTTTTTTCTAGTTTCAATGTTAAAAAAATTCAGGAAGAATTACATATCACTGGCACCTCAGAAGACCAAGCCTCTTACAGTGAGAGGACCCAAAAAAATATTAAGTGCTGAGTTTCAAACACTCTGGAGATTTTTGGGTCTAAATTTCTGTCAAATATATTAAAAGCCAATTTAAATTCTTATTAAGACAATAATGCAGACAGGAAAAATGCTTTTTAAAAAGAAAAGTACACTGAGTAGTAGTTTAATGATGATCAAGAAGGCTGGCTGTGAGAATCCTAACTTTTTAATATATAAATTATCTTTAAAGCCCTGAATACTGAAATACATAAACTCAGAAGTTACAATGTGCAGATTCTATTTCATTTCACCTTAGTAATGAAAAAAAAATTACCTCATTTACTCCAACTCCTCTGGCCACAGAGCAAACCCCTCCAAAGTAACTTAAGCTGCTCCTTTTGTAATGAAATGTCACATTCCTTACAAGAAGATAGAAATGAAGAAAATATAACACATTGACATTGGCACCAAGAGCTTATTTAAAGATCATACTCTCACACATACTATGATAGATTGCATGTATATACATCTTCTTGTAGCATCAAAAGCAACTGAAAGCTTACAAACAGAATACCAACATTGAAAGAGAAAGCTTAGAGAAAATTATTATTTTTATTTTGTAGAGTCAGAATCGGTCTTAACCCACAGCAAACCAAGCACAGAAAGCTAGAGTACCAGACTCCTAAGACAATAAAATGATCACATTTCTTTAAAAAGTTAACAATATGCTCCAATTTATAATCTGTCAGGAAGGAATGCTGTTCTGAAATGTATCAGTGTTGAGAATTTTTTTAATTATGATCTTAATCCAAACCAATTCAAGTTCTAGTTTCAACTCCAAATGAAAACACTGAGAAGTATGCCTAAAGGGAAAGTAACTTAATACTGTTCTTTAACCCTGCCTACTTTCAATTATTGTTAATAAGCCCCAAATAATTTAGATATAATAATTAGTTAAGTAATCTGGAAGACCTAAATTATTTTATAAAATGCCTCTAAATTACTATGAATGATACCTATTTGAACTTCATAGTCGTAATAATAAATCTACACCGCCTACAAATGACCTACAGTGACCTCGCATGATCTACAAATGACCCTAATCTTCTAAAATTATTGGTTTTTTAAATGACAGGATACTCCATACAGGTATATATTTACTTTTCAGAACATTCTGACAGCCATCAGAACTTTCAGACTGCAGCCTAAACAAACGCTTACATCCAGAGCCTTTACAGTAGTCAGAATCTCAGTAAGGGCTGAGGCTGACAGGCTCTTCTGGAAACGGTCTAGCTCAACCCCCCTGCTCCATGGAGGCTCAGCTGGAACACGCTGCTCAGGACCGTGTTCCCCTGGCTTTGGAATATCTCCGAGCATAGACAGTCCACAGCCTCTTTAGAGCAGCCTGTTCCAGCATCTGACCACCTTCACAGTGAAATGGCGTTTTCCCTATGTTTAAATGGAACTTCCTGTATTTCAGGTTGTATTTGGTACCTTTCACCATGCGCCACTGAGAAGAACCTGTTTGCTCTCGCTGGCAAATTCCTCAGCAAGAAACATGATACAAGCATGAAAATCATTAGGAGTGCATGTCAGCAGCACTTTGCCTACGTTAACAAGAATGCAATTAGCATTGTGTTGTGATGCCTGTATTAGGGAAATCCAGAGGAAATTCTTCAACCCTTAATTTTATCCTCCTCTGCAGAAGATGAATTATAGGAGAATCCCATGGAAGACATTTGTCACTTCATCCTCATAGTATGTCATGCTGCTGGGAGGTGGCTTAAGATCTTTATGTTGCTCAGGGGAACACACATTTCCTGCTCTTTGCTTACAATGCCGTGAAGCAAAAAAAATACTTGTTCAAGGTTGAAATTGTGCCTAATGATGCAAGTGGAATTTGCCCTCAAAATGCATTGTGTCTCAGAGAACAATTCATGCCAGTTCTAAAGGAGGAGACCTTCCACTAACAAATCATCTATGCAGCTACATGTGTGAATAAATGCTAACTGGAACGCTCTTGTGGCAACACATAATACTGTCAACTCTGCCCTCTCCTGATCTTTATTGGGAAAGCAGTACATTACACACCTGATTAGCAAAGCTAGGTGTCCTTAAGGGCTCATCAGAAGACACTTCAAATATGTGATATTGTCTCCAGGTTTTAAAGGCATTCAAATTTCATTATAGATGTACATCAACATGACCATGGCATATACCACACCTATTAAAAGCAGGCTAACATGTTACATATGGATTAAGTTTCCTAAGTAAGGCAGATTTGATTCATATAGTGAATATACTGAGCAAAAAAGTATGAAAGAAGAGACAAGTAGAGAGGAAAGTATAAAACTGATATTCTAAGCCATCACATAATGGTACATACGAGAGCAGGTGCACAGCATCAGCGTGCTGTTTGATGTAGTGCTGTCGGTATTTGGAGAAATCGTGGAGCATCTGCAGAGGGTCCGGGTGAATATTAATACGATCTCGGTCTGTCCAAGTTTCCACAGCAACAAGAACCACCCTGGTGTTCAGCTGTTCCTTGTATATCTGAGGGCAGAGACAGGACAGGCACAGGAGTAGAACACTGGGTCAAACATGCACAGTTAGCCAGTAAGAGTAAAGCGGAAGGACAAGAGGGATAAAGCAGGAGGAAAACATGGGGAAACAGTTAGCTGGAAATGCCTTGGATTTCCTAGAAGTTGATATTCTGATCAACTTAAATTTTATATTTTAGAGGACAAGAACATCCCTTGCTGCTCTTTCTTTTTTTTTTAGCCCCTTCATTTTCTTTAAAATTCTCATGTCAAATAATTTTGCCACTGAGTTTTGCAGAAAACCTGTACAAAAATCAGCAAAGAAGAAATGTAAAGGTACACTGGGTGATCTCAAAGAAAAAAAAGGAAGATCTCAAAGACAAAGAATAGCCAAAGAAAATCCTTAAGTGGAGATTAAATAATTTCTCAGTACATCCAAAATTCAATTCACATAATGCTTGATTTCCATTTATATAGTATGATCACTTAATACCACTCAAGCAATGTGAGGATTAAGTAAAACTACTAATTTTTCTATTAATTTTAATCTAACTGTAGTAATAGACAAGGAAACAACAATCAGGTCCTAAAAATAACAAAACAGTTTTAAAATAAGCTTTTTAACTTTGTGCATAATACTTGATTCTGACATAACACTGCTACTCTCTTTAGGCTCAGGTAAAAAAACTGTCAAATTTTACTAAGGCTATGCAAAACTTTCAGATCTACAAAAGATGCATTCCTTATCCACCCTGACTAGAAAGCTGGTCTTTTGTATCAGGACAGCATTATCCTTATTAAAAAGTAAATGTAAAATATTCATCTCAGGAAAAAAAAGACAATAAATGTAAGAGCAGGAGAGAGCAACTAGTTAAGCTCAATTTTGTCCAAGACCCTTGAAGGAAAAAAATGCTTCAATCTGAGGAAGACAGGCTGACAACATACACAGAAAATGGTATACAAAATGAGAAAAATCCATAAAATTAACGCCCCTGAAATTACATATGGGTCGATCAATAAAGACTTTACTTCTGCTTGCTGAGAGGAAAACTATTTCCTGAAGTAAACAGGAAGGAAAGAATGGAAGAGGGAGCAGAGAACCTGAAAGCCTCTGAAAGTCAGGATCCTTTTCCCAATAATAAATCAGTAAGAAATACAGCCCACTCCCTATGGACACAGGGGAATAACAAGGCAGAAATTCCTCCTCTTTTTCATGCTTTATTTAAAGAAAAGGCCATTAAGATGCCATTTTGGAAGATCTCTATAAGGGGACTGAATTCTACGCTGGAGTGAAGCTGAATGTTTCTGCATACACACACACAGAGCAAATAAAAATGGAAAAGCAGATGGAATAGTCAGAGAAAGGAAAGACAGATGAAATAACTTTTGTTAAAATGCAGAAGAAATACAAAGAAGTAATGATCAGATGAGAAAAAATAAAAATGCCACTTTTTCCTTGGGAATATACAATATAAATTGGAGAAATATTATTTCAATTATTTACATTTTTACCTGCTCTAGTAACTTTTCTTTAGACTACTGGCATTTTCAGACCATTACAGAAAAATATTCCAAAACACTTCCCATATTTCATGTATTATAAATATATTCACCTGGATTTTCAACATATATACAGTATACTTTATATGTAAGATACTAGGAACAAAGACCATATTGCTTCCTCCGAGCCGAACAAATTGTTGACAATGTTTTGCACTCAATCATATCACACGGTTCCATTGGTAGCAATCATGTCACATGGAAAAGGGACTCAGTCAGCATTTGGTAGCCTTTGTATTCATAATTACTAGAGAATCAATCCTGTTTTCACCACAAACAGAGCTGAAATGTGTGGTCACCACATGTGTATCAAAAAGTGGGAAGAAAATCAAATTTTACCACAAATATTACTTTTAGTTTATGTGCTGTATGCAAAATTGTTCTAAATTTAGTCACAGATACAAGTATGGTACCTGTGTCACTTTCACCCATTTATAATGTACTACAGTGGGATTTTGTTTGTTAAGCTACAAATACAGATTTATCAAGGAGAATTTTTTATTCGCACTCTTTTTCTCCCAGTAGATATGTGTATTCTTTGTGGACTATACTCCCAGTTTCAAACACTCGTGGTTGGATTTGTTTCACAAATCTAAACTTGATTAAATATCATTCTTAATTGGTGACAGATACTGAAATCTCCTTTAAGTTTGAAATCACCTCTGCTAAGGGCAAACTCTGGCAGCTGAAAGCTTGAGAAAAATGCCATGGAAAATCTGGTGGTTTCTCATACATTCACCCCAGGCTATTCTTCTGCAGAGGAACTGGAAATGCACTTTAAAATGTAATTTTCATAGCTGCTTTTTTTTTTTATCCTGGTATTTGAAAATGTTAACTTTTTTACTAAACTAAAAGTCAGTGAATCAGTGTTCAGAGGAAACATGGATACTTACAGCATCTACAAGATTTACCACAGACTTTGCAAAATTGTTTGTGTATGCATTTGAAGAACGGTGCCTTTTGAACTAAAAGGAGAAAAGAAAGTAGAACACAGTAAGAACTTAAATATTTATTACTAATTCTTTATTTTTACAGCATGAAAGGAAAATTAATATTTTAAAAAAGAGTAAAGGAAAACCTCAAAAAGCTTTTCAAATCATAGCCTACATCTCACATTCAAGAATCCCTGGAAAATAAAGGCAGCCATGTATGCTAGACAGCCTTTCACATCTGTAAAAGGAGCACTTAGCCTCAAGAAATATCCTATTTATAAAGAGAGTTCAAATGTTTGAGATAAAATTACAGATAAAAATAAACATGAGCTCAAGATTGAAAGGATACTGTGCCCATTAAAAGTGTGCTTAACTTGATGAGTTACCTATCAGACTGTCCTAGACACATTCCATGACTATAAGACAGGAAGATGAAGCATTTACCACTTGTCCTCTGCACAGCTCTTTGCAAAGCCATGCTTTCTCCACAGCAGCACAAGACTCTTATGACAAGTAGTATTAGTTATACCAAAAGACAAAATGGAAGAGGGAGGGCACAGTAAAAGTAAATATGTGAATGTGAAAAGAGTTGAGCTGAATATCTTAAATTTTAACTTTAATTTTTTTTCTATTTTTATAGACTTAGATGAGCTGTATTAGAAGTTCTGCCTCCTAATTTCTGTGCATTGCATTACAATGGTTTCATGTCTTTCCTCATCCTGCCCCACAAGTCCCTTCTGTTCTAAGTCAAATTTTTTAGAGATGCAGCTATGGTATCTGAACATGAATCCATCGCTTTCAGGAAACTGTAAAATTATAAACCAAAACTACATTACACAATATGATTTGCAGACAGAAAAATAAGTCTTTAAAATTTCACAGAAAAGGCACATAAAATTGCTTAGAACAAAGAGGGAAAAAAGTATTCACAAAAAAACTTTTACTAATTTTAACTACTGGTTGAAAGCATCTAGTGAAGAATTACAAAACAGACAAATGCCCCATTTTCCAAAATTATTCTTTGTGTAAAGGTGAAAGTAACTATGTTTTTAAAATTAAATAATCTGTTTCTGAAATTGAAAGAAGAAGTGTCACCCACACAAACACACTATATTATTAGATGATAAATTTGCCATTCTGTTAAATTCAACTTATTTTTGCACAATCAACCTAGTTTTATAAGGATGAAATGCCATAGAAATAAAAAAAAGTTCATCAAACTTAATGGGGACACTCATTTGACTGCAGGAAGATAATTTTTTTTACAAATGCAGTTATTCACTGTTAGGTTCCACAATGCTTCAGCACAACCATGGCAGGTTTTAACACCCAAAGATCCTACAACATAGGTTTGCAGAGACCCATTCCCCTATAACTATTCTCAAAACAAAGCATTTTCAGGTACAGTGCTAGTAGATGCTTAGGATGTACACTGAGAGGAATGTACACATCACAAGACTCTGCTCCCTAGGGAACCATGACAACGGGACAGGGGGAAAGGGCAGCTTTGGCTTCATGTTTTGAGTCAATCCCAAACCTTTCCAGAAGTGGAAAGGTAAAACAATATGCTTTGGAAAATGTTCTTGGTTTTTGTGAAAGTACTAAAATGCTAAAATCAATAGCAATATACCACATAATATGTTTAAACACAGCTCCTAAACCAGAAATTAATCTAAGCCAGTAAAAAGTGCAACAACCTAATTAAACATATTTAGTTGTGTCTTTATTGCTACAGGAAAGTAAAATGTGGAAATACATAGTATTTACCACTTAACACAATGGTCAAAGAGGTTTAAGATACTTCTTCCAACACAGACGTTTGCTGCAGGGGAAACCTGCCCTCTCCTGGTAAGTAGAAAACCTTGAAAGTACAGTTAGTGAGCTCCTGGACTGGCAAGCTGTGACGCTTAATTGTGAACGCTTCCTTAAGTACATCCATTTTATTCCTTGAAAAGATTTATTATCTGCTTCTGAGTCACTGACAACTCTTGTGGTCAAAAATTCTAACAAATAAAGCGTGAGGGGAGACAACAGTTAGTGTCTGTAACCACTGTAGTGAACAGAGCAGTTGTCCTTTAAGTTTGTCTGTAATACAAGAGGCCAGAGGAAACAGAAAGACTAGAAAGATTTTCTCTTCGTAAGGAACATCAACCACAGACACCAAACAAGACAACACAACAGCCATAACTTCATTTATTGTGCCCTACTGCTGAACAACTAACACCTGAACACTCTTACAGTAGTTTTCTACCAGGTAGCTTTACAAATGAGAACAACTCAAGAAATTCTGTCCTACGCTTTCCACCCACTCAAATTCCCTCCACACCGTTAACCTCCAAACATAGGTTATGTTTGCCCAGACCACTTCTATGATTTATTAGACAGATGATGGAAGGGTATATTATCTTTCTATTCAGCACTAGAACACGTACAAATTACTGCATCCTGTTCTGATATTAGCTGCTTCTTACTCTTAAAAATTATTCTTCAGTATTGGCAAAAGAGCCCACAACAACATAAAGCATTGGGAAAACATGCCATAGAGTGAGAGACACAGCAATCTCTTTACTTGCAAATAAAATAAACAAAAACTGGTTTATCAACAGAATTTGTTTTTTTTTTAAAAAAAAGTCTTGCTCACACAAATGTCACTCCGCTTGACATTTTCCAGTTATCTTTCAAGAAAAAAATGGGAAAAAAGTGGGCTTTCCTCCCCCTGCTCCTGGGATTTTTTTAATGGCAACCACTTTCTCAATCAAACAAACAACTTATCCTGCACTTCATTATGAATCCTGTTCATAAGTGCAGAATACCCAGGAAGAACAACCATGAGAGTTTTGTCTATATGTTTTGCTGCATTAAAATTTAATTTAGTAAAACTAAACTCAAAGTAACAAATTCTGACCTCTTTCTATATAACTTTAAAGATGTAATTTTAGAACATTTAGTGTGTTGGTTCTGGACATAAATGTTTTGTTGCTTTACTTCACTGGTTATGGGCATACTAAATTATCCATATGATACCAAGGTGTTTCAGATTTATTTTGAATATATAATTGCTGTAGAAAATCTTAGGCAACACTAAGCTTCATTAGGTATTATGGCCTATACTGTGTCTTACAGTACAGCTGTTAATAGCTGCTGATAAACAAAATATTGGACCCAAAAGTAGCTTATGCAGCACAATGCTGTGCATCAACCTACAAACTATCACCAAAAGGAAGATTACCCTTGAATTGATATACTTACCATTTTATGGTCATTGACTATCATGAGCTCCAGATATTTCATTTCTTCGAAGACACCACGAGATATCTGACAGATTAAAGAAATTGATTGAGAAATCATGAAGATGTAATGATTTTCAAAAATAACTGCAGTTGATTTATATTATATATACATATTACATATATATATGGGGAGGGTGTAAACCTGTAAAAAACTGGGTCAGACATTCAGCTAGGGTGAAGAAACAGTAACTTTGTGAGTTATGATAGACACTGACTGAGAATCTGAGTCACATCATCAAGAACATTCAAAGTTTACTCTTTTTGGCTCAGTGCAGACTCCACCACTTCTTCCATCCTCTTTTCATTATGTACTATTCATCACGGATTTAACGAGGAAGGAAGTTACTAAAAACAGATGCACCCTCAAAAATATGGTGTGGATTGTGCAACTCAGTGAAGAAATACAGATTAATGTTCCTTAACTCAATTATTCCCCTAACTGACGCATATGCACGTGAAGTTCATGAGGACTGCCCACTTATGTTCTCTGAATAATCCAGTTCTGGGTGTCCTTGTTTGGACTTTTGATTTAACTGTGCTACTTAATGAGCCAAATGACAACAAAGTCAGATATCCACAAAGTAGGCAAAAGTTCATTCAAAATTATTCTTTACCCTCAAGCAGACCCAAAATTTAAAATTCTAAACTCATTCTCACTACTAAATTTCCCCTGAATTGATGTATTGTTGTCACTTTAGAAAGTTTACCAACTATTTTCCAAATATTCTAATTTTAAAGAACGATTTTATTTTCTCACTTGATAATTGTATTATGTGACAACATTAAGGTATTAAAAATATTAGTTTCCTAAAGCCTATGTTCTCTTGACATTAAAAACCACAAAAATTAGTGGGTTTGGTTTTATAAATGGTCTTAACTCAGGGTCACGCTTTTACTCACTGCTCTCTTTCTTCTCTTTCTCCTCAGCCACTGAAGTTCAGACAGAAAGGGCCATTCAGAACTAGAGTCAGTCTCTGTACAAATTACAATTTAAGAATTTCATGGCATTATTTTAAACTACTTAAGTACACTGAGCAAACCTAAAGTACATCATCAAAATGAGAACCATCTTTGCTATTGAAAGGTTCATTTTTTTAAATATATATCTCATATCAAAACTCAAGTAATTTAGAAATCTTTAGAAAGCATGCAAGGAGAGATAAAGAGATCATAACCTGGGCTTAGAATATATATATGTTTTCTTCCATCTTCTGTCCTCAAAAGCATTAATATCACTGAATAAATTTAGTGATTTGCAGAAGAAACCTAAATACAGGTCTTGATGGATGAAAATCTTTCAGCTGCTTATTGAAAAATCTAAATTCCATTGCAATAATTGTGGAAAAAGTCAGGTTAGGATCTATTTTTCAAGCTTTTGTAAATAATCAGCAAGTTTATGTACCCTGTTAGCCTAATTTTCAAATTTTTCAAGTTATATATACGATTATTTCCCATATTGAAAAACTCATAACATAAGCAAAAACATACCAAGGTCCTGCAACTGCTTGGAGGCTTGTGTTCCGTAAGTTCTTTGGATGATATGTGGCCTACTTTTACTTTCCTGATAAGAAAAATATGTGAAATTTTCTTCTAATTAATAATGTCAAGTGAAAGATGTGGCATTTCTTTCAGCATTTATCATTTTTATTGTTTTTTCAATAAAATGCAAGCAATCACGGTATCAATTTGGGATAGTACTAATTTGAAGCAATCTATTTGCAATCCTGAGCAAATCATGGAGCCTCTCTGCTTCAGCACATTTACTGGCCTACGAAACTGAAGTATCACAAATGTCTTTGAGATTACCTGAAAAAAGCCCCTTAAAAGCCTTACTGTTAGAGAACACAGATCATTTATTCCAATAAATCAAATTAGAAAGTCTATATCTGTTTGAAATCTTCCTGCCACAGATGAAAAGCAAGTTATTACTATTTACGAAAAAATCCTATCTAATTGCAGCAAAATGCAAGAAACCAATCAATATGCTATCCTTAAAAGGACTATTTCACCCTGTTTTATTGGTGTGTACAACACTTAAAAAGGTTACCGCCTTTAATGCATATTTTCTTTAAAAGTCTGACATACCCCAAATTATTACATTTGAGTATCTACTCTAGAAAACAACTCTTTTCTTCCATAACACCTCCTTTGCAGAGCCTGCCAAAACAAGCAATTCTTTTCAAAGGGCAGGATGCAACTGTTCTGTAACTTTCCTAAGAAATACATAACTCATTGAAGGACAATACTGCATATTTTCGCTGAATTTTGGGGGGAAGAGAGGGAGTTTTATATAGTATCTACTATAATTAACATTAATCAAGCTGAATAAACTACACACTGAAGGCTGTGTCCAAGATATATATTTTGCATAGTGCAGTCAAAAAATGAGCCTCTGAAAGCTCTCTGTAGCTGTATTATTTTATTTTCAGTAGTTTTGAGAAAAATATGCATCTCATCTGTCTTCTTATCATCTAGAATTCAACATGAATCCTCGACAGAGTTGGCAAATGGTATCTCACTTTCATAACCAGAACTTCTCCTACACTTAAAAAGTTTTACTGAAATACCACACTGAGAGAGAGATACTGGTTTCGTTTGTTCACCCAAGCAAGAAAACAGTTTAGTCAAATTCTCTTCTTCCTACTATATGGATACTGCTGTATAAATACAATCTCCATGATTAAAATCTTTATGAACGTGTGCTACAGCAAACATAGACATATGGAATGGAATGTTGCTCCTGGGGAGACAGAGAAGTTTTTTAGGATGTAATATTTTCCTGTGTCTCTAAAGTTTCATTTATAGTCCAATAATTGAACATCCAATTGATACTGATTCCTCCAAATGTTGGTCCAGTTTATTTGACAGTATCAGCCAATGATTTTTGCAGATCTTTATTTGGACTGTAAGTTCAGCATTACAAGCACTAAAACTGGTTCTGCAGAGTTAATTATTTGTCATATACTGGTATGTAATAGAGCGAGACGAGCTTAAGAGCTGTGCTACAGCATCTGGAATACATTCTACAGACCAAGAAGGATAAAAACCTTAAGAATTCTCTGTCTTAATGTTGCAGAATCATTTCACTGAAAATAACTCAAATATTTGAATCATTCAAGAGGTAGAAATCTACCTAGTTTTACTACTGTCTATGAAACTGTGTCAGCTCTAACAGCTAAATTTTTAAGAAGAGTTGTATTATAATATTTAATATGAAATACAAAAATAATAATAGCAAGATATTTGCATAAATGCAGTCCTACATGCTGATCCAGCATAGTCATGTATTTGAATATGCTATATCAGAATCATTTAAGCTATACAGTGACCACTGAGATAACACATACAAAGTGTAAGATACCCACATAGAATTATCTACTTAATTAAGTTCCTTGTGGAAACATGGTAGGTCAAGAGCAACCTGATGCAACTGTCTAGAGAGGAATGTATAAATGAGTTCCAGAGATCCCTTCTACAAATTTATAAATACTTCAGTTCAAGTACTAGAGCAAATTGATAAACACTTTTAGACAGTCCATAACCATGAGCTAAAGAAACAGTCTTATTAGTCTATTCCCAGCATCTAAATAATCAACAATAAGTAAGAAACAAAAAATTAAAGGAGAGAAAAATCATAGGTAAATCATACTTACAAATTTCCTGCCTAAATAAATTCCAATCAAGTGTTTTAAAATACTTTTGGTTTTCATATGAACACATGAGACATTCATTTATCGATTTGTTCTAATATTTTCATTTGTTATTCCTTGAGCACTCTCCCAAACCAAACAAATTAGATAAAAATAAACTTACTTCACTGTGGGTCAGTTCCATCGGTTCTATCAAGTACAAATAAGTACTATCTTCAAACATGCCACTAGAACATGGAGAAAAAGAAGTGAGATTTAGGATTACATGGCAATTAGTTTGACTCCAGGATATGAATTTTGATGAGACAAAAGCAAATTTAGGGCTGAAAAACTGACCAATATTAAAATAAATTCCATATATGTTCATTACCACCACATGTAGTTAAAGCTAAGTATATATTTTTTTTAAAATATGACGCACATTTTAATGAACCAACACTAAATGTAATGGCAATGCAATGATAAAGTACCAAAAAGAGTAAAGGTTTGACCTTGGAAAGAGGAAGTACTAAGATCCACATTGCCATGCAGAATATAATCAACAGCTGAGTTGCACTTAACAGTAACTAGTTCTAGTAAGGACCAATTTCCCACATTTTTTTCTTTGTATAATTTAACAAAAAGATCAATTTTTCTGTTGGCTGACAGAATCATATGTGAATACTGACCATGCAAACTTCTAAAGTACAATTCTTGCTTATCCTTCACCATAATAAGTTATCTGGGGAAATATTTATTTGCACTTACCATATTCAAAGGTTTTATAAGACAGCATCAAAATGTTAACTCCAACGATATTAGAAAAAAAATGCTAGCAGTTTGGCTTAGCTGGTACTGGCATTCCAAAACATCAAAATCTTTAGGCCTGTAGAGTTTCAGTTCCTCACATATTAAGTGATAATATTCAAGAGTCATAAGTAGTTATAGTTTTGCTTGAAAAATGAGAACATGCACTTACTGAAGTCCATTACAAGTCGAAAGAGCAACTTTGGAATCCTTGATACCTCTGATATTTCCGTGGTAGTAACAATGCTCTCCCCCCTAACAACGTTTAAAAACAAACAGTCACACACAAAAAATTACCCTGATTTAATGTCTGTTACTTAAAACCAAGGCAAAAAAAGATCTAACACTAACAATACCCATTTAGTTGATTTAAGTAATATCTTTACTATCTATCACAATAAACCCAGCTAAATTAAAGATAAAAAGTATTCTCAAAAACTTTTATTAAAAACCCGTAAGTGTGGTTCTTTCACACATTGTTAGAAAAACCTACCATTCATCATAAAAATATTCTTAATTCTGGTGTCATGTCATCTGAACTCCAACAAGCATACTGAACCCATTCCTTATGCAATTATAACTCAAGAAGGTATCAAAAATGTAAATGCTGTTTGTCTATCTATGCACAGCATTACTTCCACTTTGCATCTTATTTAATCAGTTATTCAGATTCTGAATAAAATTCCTAACAGGCTAGTGTGCATAACTAAATCAAAGTACTATACAGAAAGTAATCACTACGTGTTTACCTTTCCATAGTGAGAATGCATAAACCATGCTTTTTAACAGCTAAAATGTGATCATCTCTCTCACAGAAGATTTTTTTTTTTCAAGATGATCATCTGAGTAAAGAAATTGTTGTCTGTTCTTCAGTCATTCTTGTAATAAACTACCCCTTTCTATAAAATACATCACTTTTCATTAAGATCTCTCTTCTTTAAATCCACACTGGGGAAAAAAACAATCTTGTACCTACTTAGGTCTAAAAAGTATTATAAGATACTGCAAAAGACCAGGATACAGTCCTCCTACACAAATTGCGTGTATATTTTTTGAACCCATAACAAAGCCTTTTATGGATTAATAATGTGATCTCAGGAGCTCTATTACTGCTTCTAAATAACACAACTCAGAAAACATCCCTTAGGAAGTTTGGATCAAGTTACTGCAGCATGCAAAGGTAGCCCATTTGCTGAGTCTGAAGTTCTAATATAATTTTCCATTCAGATTCATGATTCAGCAACCGCAGTGCTCAATACTAGTGCTGCAGCTGACAATTGCATGAGCTTGTCTAAGTGCCAATGGGAATTGTCTTCTTGCATCATTTAGCATTTTTGCCTATTCTGCAGAGCGCTGAGTCTTAATGAAACACCTTCCTTTGTATGTTACACGAAATTATTTTTCCTTTACAGTGGAAGAAAACAATTTCAATAATTACATTGCAATATAATTGTTTAATTCTGCAATGTATTATTTTATTTGAGATTCTCCATAACAAGGGCAAAATAATAAACTAGATATCTAATACTTGGACAAACAACAGTCCTGACTTTCTGAATGCATGAATGCATAAATGCAACTGGAATGTTTGCCTGCCTCCACTCTAAATAGAGATATATTTCACACATAATAAGTTCACAATATTCATACCAAATACGAAAAAAGTAATTCCCGGAAAATGTAGTTTTTAACCTTCCTAGGATCATACCAGCCCTCATTTTGTTACTAAAACAAACAAAAAGACTGATGCGGTTCCCTTAGGGCTGAACTATCTTGCATAACTTTAATCTGCCCTTGGATTAATAGCCTATGGCACTGAATTCAATTTGGTAGCTTGTTTGACAAACTTAATTAATTGGATATCAAGCAATATGCTGATTTTGTAATAACTCCAGAGGTTAAGGTTTCAGTTAAGTCTTTCATTTTCTGTTTCACAACTGTACAATTCTTGCAAAGAAAAGTCACTGCCAGTTTTTTTGTTTGTTTGAATGTCTTACATTACCATTATCCCTTCTCCTTGCACTTTGTGCTAAGGACATGTGAATAATTAATGAAGATTAATCTGATGGTGGCTTCAAACGCTCCACCTCCTACATTTTACAAGATGTAATTGTTCTGGCAGTAACTGGATCATCTTCACTACTACCACCTACGAATGCCTACCCCTCAGCCCAAAACACAGCTTTTCTTCTTTGTACAATTCCTCTTGGATTACTGAGATATCCTTACAAAATGAGATCACAGTTACCTTGTATGTGTGGAAAAAGAATTTTGGTGGGTTTAAGTTTTGCAAAACTTTTTTTTTAAACATTTTATTGGCACTGTTCTCTCAAAAACACCATTATGATGCAATTTAAGAACACAATACCTTAGAAAACTTTGGTTTTCCATCTTCATAGTGAATCTCCACATAATTGGAAGATAACAAGTCACTGTCAAAGGAAGGAAAAATCAAAATGAGAAAAATCTGAATACTCTTTCTACTACTACGGGTAGGTTTTTGGGGGGTGGGGGGTTGCTATAATTTTGAAACCATTTTTGTTTTCCCTGTACATTAGTTTAAAAAAAATCAAGCAGTTTGTGTCCAGTAAACAGTTTGACAGTGCACTGGAAGTCACAGTGTGTTACAGAAGGGGGAATTTTATTCTGCAATCTAATCCCCTGTATTTTAGCTTTACAATTAGATTATCAGCCTTTTAAATATGCAAAAAAAAAAAAATCCCATGGCTTTAGAACTTTGTTTGCTGACAGTAACTTATGAAACATATGTTTAGTTTATTACTGTTTTCAAATAAATTTTACATTTTATCGAAAAGTCAAACAGAGTATATGTAAGGCTGAACAAATACACACACAGCTGTTTTGAAGACAGTGTGTATACTCACTGTGTGTATACTCACTTTCACAACTGCAAATACTCAATTTTTTTCCCAAAGCAGTAAAGTTCCTTAAAAAAGGCCAAAACAAAGCCCATCATAAAACACCCTCCATAATACCCCTTTTCATATTTTCACGTTTTATTCTCAGATATCTTTCTCACTCTTATTCTTTCCTAACTCTGGCAAGACAAATTTCTGAAGCATAAAAATTTCCCATACTATGTAATTTACAGTTCAGATTTCTTCTTCTTCTTTTTTTTTAACTAAGATTTTTTTAACTAAGCTAGCCTGTACATATCCTGCAATAATCTCAATGCCCCATTCACATCCCACCCCTTTATAACCAAGGCTGCAGCACAGTGCCCAGGGAGAGCAAAGCAGTTAAACATGCTAAATGGCCCTACCAAATATGCAAGATAAGCATTTTATTTAATGAGACCCAGAATTCTTAGCATTTTTAAAGTCTCTGATGTACCCTTTCAATTTAAAAAAAAAAAATCATTAAAGGGTCTGATAGTGGTACATATATCAAAACAAAAATATCGTTGCTACAAATAAAAGACATCATTATGGAAGTCTGGTCTGACAAGATAGCTCTGATGGGAATTCAGGACTAACAGCAACTTATGATAATGGGTATCTCAAACTCAGATTAGGCTATTAGCAGTCCTGATAACACGCTAACTCTGGGACTCATGGCTCATAAAATCAATTCTTCATGCCACATTTATCAGGCACTACACTCAGAGAGCATCCTGCAGAAGTCAGTTACCAGCGGTTCTCTTAAAAGTCCTTTTTCGTGGAACTGAGAGACCACACTATGGGCACTCTGTGTCTGCAAAACCAGTGCTAATAGCCCTGAATAACTATTGAAGTCTCATAATTTGTGTTAAACATCACTTTGAAGGCAGCATTTAATAGATATATTTTTAAAGCGCAGATTTAAAAATAAATTCAATTGCATAAAATCATTTTAACTTTCTCTATTTGCATCAGAGTAAGTTAAAAACATTCTGCAGAAAATACAAATGCTGTATAAATAGTGTAAGCACTTGACTACAATGCAAACAGTCATTTCTTCAGCATGGCCAGATTTGAAGCTTCTAAAAAGGCTTACATATACAAAACAAACTTTAAAGTGTTGATAATGTAATTTTATTCTTTGCATTTTTTATACTTGTTATCAAGCGTAAGGACTGCTGTTCTCTGTACTTAATGGGATGGTAGAGACAAGGCTGCAGAAAACTGACACAAGTAAGAAAATGGAAAACTCTGATTAGGATATAAGTATTTAAAAAAAAAAAAAATTGAGGATTGTTAAACACGGGAACTATGCTCAACTTGATATAGCCTTGACCAGATTCAGATTTTTAGACACTTCTGCTTGAATTCACTGAGACTATTTGGTTTCCTCAAACCAATTCCAGGATCAGCATTTATCTACCTGTTTCCAAATCAGATCACACTTTCACACCCTCTTTTTTCCCCTCTTCTAGTAACCTTGCACAACTGATCTCAGAACTGCTTTCTGTGCTTTTTGCATCTCATAAGACTTGCAGTAGGTGATCCACACTGTGTGTACTGACTCACAACTGTAGTCTAATTACAGCATTTGTCTCAGATTTATCCCATTTCATGTGACACAAGAGCAGCTCAAAATTTCTTTAGTCCACCCGCTGAAGAACCTTTCCAGAGTTTAGTACTCTTTTTTGGGCTTTGGTTCAGCTTCTGTTGTAACACAGTTAGTTGCCTCATCTGCCAACCTTTTCCATTCTTTAGCTTATCATTACTTCCACTGCAAAGGAATTCCTGATTCAGGTAGTGTCCAAATAAAGTATCCCACATGATAGGATACCTAACATGGCATGCTTATGATGAAAAACTCATATATATATATTACAAGTTCAAAGCAAGGAGGCAGCAGAGAGCAAGTTTCCAGTAGACGCTCTCATCATTGACTTTCCAATATGTATTGGGTTTTCATGGCCAGGTTTTGGTAGTGGGGGGAGCTATAGGAGTGGCTTATCCAAGAAGCTGCTAGAAGCTTGCCCTGTGTCCAACAGAGCAGTGCCAGCTGGCTCCAAGATGGACCTTTGGGATCTACTGGATACAAGGCACATTAAATTCTCCATACCAAACAAATTCCCTGCAATGAAAATTAGTTAAGGCCTGCTGCTCATGATATACTTCCCATGCTGTAAGAAAAATGCACCTTTAATTTCTGAAGCACCCTTTTGCCAAATGTAACATAGTATCCACCACCTAGAAGTTGGAGTAGAAAATCTTCTGTAAGACTTGCCTTTCACAACCCTGTTTCTCATGCTATGTTGGAACAGTTGGAACTAGATCACTAGTTTCTGATCATTATTGTGTTTTTAAGCTTGCCACACATAATCACCAAGGTTACTCAAGGGCATTGTTCTCTTAACATTTCCCTCAGGACAGCAAGAATTTTGAACATTCCATGGGAAAAAAAAAATCTGTCTGCTGCTCCTTAAACTGTATGCCATTACCTTGGTAGGTACCTGATTTTTGTCAGGTACCTATTCTTTTTTCAAATATCTGCCTACACTAGCAAATGTCCTAAAGAACACCTTACTTGTAATCACTCAGAAATCCCTCAAGGTATACTGCTAATCTGAGAGAACATCGATCTTATTCAGGGAGAGGGGGGAATGGGAGCAGAAAAGTATTTTTGCAGGCTTTTTCTAATACAGCTTTTCTAGTATACACAGCCAGTTGCTTCTATAATAAAGCTAATCTGAATCCTGTTCTCTATATTCATATCAAAATCAGTACAAACACAGCTATAACTGTGCTTATAAATGGTTAGTATTGAAATGTGATATTGCAGAGAGCAGCCTAGGACCAAAAAATTCAGCAAAAATGTTCCACTACTACTGCAAAGAAAAATGGCAGAATTTGGGTAAGGGAGTTTGTTCTACATTTTGCTACAGCTTCAAGAATAACAACAGCTGTAAAAATACATATAAAACTGCCACTGTAAATTTTCCCTACCAAAGCTTTTACCTGTTATTAACACTGACAAATATGACAAAAGACATGAGAAATTATTTAAGGAAAAGAAAAAAATTAGTACTTAACCAAAATAACTTTCAAACGTTTTTTCCTACTCAAAAGATATACGTAGAAGAGCATTGTAATTTCACCAGGAGGTGTGATGGGATTCTTCATGAAAGCGGCATCAAAAAGAAAGGCCTAGAACACACTGATTAAGAGCTCATGTAGAAGTACAATTTCCTGAGGAATGAGACACAGAACTCATGCATAAAGTAGGAGTCTCCACATCACAAAATAACTTTTCTTCCTTTGTTATCATTTACAGAGTGGATAAATTAACCTCTGAAAGGCAGACCTGAGTTTTACAAAATATATTTTACACCTCACCTACTCTGGACTGTTCCGCCACCTTTGATCCCTTTAGAGCCATTTACATTTTGATTAGAGCAGAAATGTATTCAATACAGCAAATTTGTTTTTCAATATTATGAGCACCAGAAACAGTGCAGGATTTAACTAAAACAATCATCAGTCATGACCATGTCAGACAAAAGTATATTTACGTAGTGACACATTAGTACGATCCTTTACAATGAACACATCAAATTACAACATGTTGAATAACTCATGACAAAATAATTTGTCTGCCATGTTCTTTTCTATAGTTTCTTCCACTCTGCCTTGCTTGTCTTAGATAATTGTACTTATTAAGCTGTCCTGCACCCCCAGCTCTTCTGAGTTACACTGAGAAATGCAAAATAAGCAGCAAAGGGACATGCTATTCCCAGTAGTTGCTGCCTTTGAAGACACAGGCCAGCTGTTAAAGCCAGCAGTAGATGCTTTCTGAAGAACTCACATCCACTTCCCTGGCACATAGTTTAGTGCTGATGTTTTCCTTAGGAGGAGAGCTGCAGAGCGAAAAGTGTCTTACCTCAGCTGACATCTAACCATCCTTATGAAGAGAACTGATTTGGGTAGGTAAAAGCTATGAAATGACTAATAAGTATCTCATATACAAGTAACCAGGTTAGCTTCCAGGAACATAGTAGAAAATCAGAGTACAGCTGAACTATCCTTCTGACATACTTCTTAAATTATCTTTATACTAACCTATTACCAGGCAATATTTTATTATTTTTAAGTATTCTGAAATTATTCAAGTTCAGTACCACTGTCTGAGCAACCTAGTTTAGTTGAATTATTTGACAGAACACCCATCAGATGTTTTTGTCCATTTGAGAGATAAAGTTTAGCAGCACAAAAAGATGTAAAAAACAGAGACCTTGCTGCAACATTTTGTTAGATCATCAAGGTAGTGCCATCTAATGCAATGGCCATCTACAGCCTTGTTTCCATTACCAGTTTCAATTATATTCACAAACTTTGTTGAATTGTCTGTTCTTATAGGAATTTATTAAGTTTCTAGTATGTGTTTACATTAATCTTTACTTGGCTCTTGTCTTTGAAGCTGCTCTGATAAGAGTGTCTCTAAGGAATGAATACACTGCAAATATTCGCTGTTATTTTTTAAA